GGATGATAGCAATGATCCTAACGAAGTGCCTGAACAGTCAGTGCAATTGTGCATGTTTTACTGAGTGACCCCTCACCAACGAAACTGACGACATTTCTCCTGGACGACCGTTCTGTCTCGGGACCCGAAAGGCAACGGGCGCCGGCCCAAAAAAAAAAACCGTTCTGTCTCGGGACGGCACTGCTCAAGCAACTGAATGCGCTACCAGGAACTGATGAGCAAGGCGCGTCCTTCGATTACTGCACAGGCTTAACTCTATCGTATCGGCATGGATTTGTGTGGTTTTTTGTTCGGCTCGGCCCCGTTTTGTGTTCGCTGTTTTCTCTGCTGGCAAAACGCAAATCTGGCCGGGAGATTTGCGTGTCGTCGCTGTTGCCGTGTTTCTTTCTTTTGTGTTGGTTTTTCCATGGTTTGCCTCGTGTGAAGCCAAAAGGTTTCATACTTTTTGCACACTTTTCTACCGCTTCTCACTGTCAGGACCGAAGCCTTAGAGCGAGATTGGCCGCAACAGGAAAAAAAGGAAAAGAAGTATGATCCGTTTCCAGACCAGGTCCAACCTTTTGAGTTGCTCACAAAGGGTAGAAGCCATGTTGCCGCTCAGCTTTAGGCTTGCAAAGAAGTTAGCATGCTGGTCGAAAGAACTTGTAACAGAGGAATCACAGCATGCCAAAAAGTGCTAAAAGATAAGAAGCTGCTACTTTTTCAAAAGTTGCTGGCAGGATCTGGGTGTCCTGACCTGGGACAAGCGACGAGATCAGGTCGTAGTCAGCGGCCGTTTTGTGGTGATCTGGTGTGGGAAGCCAAGGATCATGATGACTTGCGTGAGTCTGGCGTGAACAAAGCTCATACAGCTATTGATGCACTGGAAGTACACGCTGTGATGATATGGTCTTTCTTGCGCACTTTGTGACTACCACAGTTCGACGTCCGGTTAGCTCTGAGTCCAGACCCTTCGCAGTGCTGATAGTTCACCACAGGCTTTCCAGTGTACTTCGTTAGCAACAGCCTTCCTTTCGGTGCTCAGGCGTTTTTAGTTTTCAACCGTGTTTTGTTTGTTTTGCTTTGTGTGGCTCCGGCCCCGTTTTTTGTTGCTTCGCTGTCTTTCTTCTGGCGAAACGCAAATCTGGCCGGGAGATTTGCGGGTCGTCTTTGTTGCTGGGTTTTTGTTCTTGGTTGGCTTGGCCATGATTCGCCTCACTTGAAGCCACAGTGTTTCATTCTTTTTGTACAGCTCTTACCGCTTCTCTCACCGTCAGGACCGAGCCTTAGAGCGAGATTGGCCACAACAGAGGGGAAAAAAAAATAGTTTTCAACCGTGTTTTCCAGGAGTCTGTGGCACATAGGGAACGTGTTTTTGTAAGATCGTTGGAGCAGTCTTCTTTGAAGATTTTTCCTCTTAGAGCTACAGCCCTTGCGCACCCTGGCCACCAAGTCTTTTGAATGCCTGCTAAAAGCATTGGGTTGGAAGTTCTCAGACGACCCGAACAAAACCCATCCTTTTGGGAATGAGTTTGACGTCCTTGGCATACGCCTGAACATAGCCTCCTTGCATGGGGGTCCTTTCGAAATACGAAACAAGCCCAGCAGTGTTGAGAGAATTCAGAAACTCCTGGAATATACCGCTGCGCTGGAACACATGACAAAAGGCATGCCCAAGTCGCACGTGGTAACCTGAACTTTCATGATTTGCCTATCCATAAGATTCTCAGCATGAACTTTTGGCTGGTTTGTGATTTTCCAGTCCCCTTTCCTTAAGGGAAAGCGGGATGTTGGTGCCATTGATCAAGTTGGATAACAATTTGGTCAAACCGGGTGAAAATAATCCAGCAATGCAAAAAGGAATAAGTATCAAGAGCGCGAAAGGTGTGGGGGAAATTAAGTTTGAGAAAATGGTTTATGTTGATTGTTGTTTTAGTAGTGTTTAATCGGTGCTTTTCACATTGGCGTCTTTAATATACACTTGTATGTGATTTTAGGACAGGTAACGAATGTCCACCTTGACCATTAGTGTTTGCTTGTTGAATAAGGACCGTGCCACAGAGCACAGCGGCCATATCCCGAGGGAAAAAAATCCTATCTTCTTCTGTTTTGCAGAAGCTGATAGTGCTGGTGTTGCTCATCGGTGTATGCTGCCAGAAATTCTGCCGTGCCTCTTCCGGTAAATCGGATATATCAAGCAAATCGCCCACGATGCCAGGGATCTCTTCTGTGCAATCTCAAAACGCCCTATCCAGTGCACGTCCATTCTGGCCTCGGTACGTGCGAAGCATCTGCAGGAATCGCCAAAGAAACACATGATTTACTTCCTTCACGAAGTATGGTCTCAATGTGTCCTTAAAATGGACGAGGCCACGATCCGGATCTCGGAGTAGGGCATTGTCGAACATTGACTTGTAAAACGAAGCTGCTCCTACAAGAGCATTTTTGAGCGATGGGCCGTGCTTGTGTGCACCCAATGTGGTGATGCCTAACCAGTCATCTATCAAGTCTTCATATTCAATCCAACTGGATTGGCCATCAAACTGTGGAGGTACCTTAGGAGTCATTTTGATACTTTGTCGTGAATCAACTGTGCTAACGGTGTAGGCTTCCGGCTCTTCATACGTTTGGATTTGGAGTTGTTCTTTGTCTGAGTCCATGTTCTGGTTGAGGACCATGGCAGCTACTCGGATCCGAGTTGTACCACAAGTTGCCCTTGCAAGTCCGGATATCGGGGCAGGCGGCAGGTGCTAGAAGCTCTTGTCGTAGCTTGCTAGCAAGTTTTGAGCCACGGAGTGGCGCTGTGGTATATATGAACTGAGGTGAACATGTCACATACCATATGCACTGTGCAGACACGCTACCAAAATTAGGTTACAGGTGGACGGGGGAGCATCGCCTGTGCCCGAGGGCAAATATTTACAGTAGAACGCAAAACAGTGGTCACAAGCCTATGGCTGCAAAACAACGATCACGCAGGATCCTTTTGCAGTCTTTAGAAATTTTCAGAAGCGTCACTTCCGAGTGTTTGGAAAAATTTATAAAACAAAGCGAAGCGTACTTATGATTTCGCATTGAATTATATAATTATATAAAAAAATTATATGTATAAATTTAAACTCCGTGAGTACTGTAGAGCTTCTTATAATTCTTTATTGTTTTCCGACTTGATAATTTTCTTTGATATATGATTTCCTTTTTGCGAATTCCTTAATTGAGTGGTCGGGGGTCATGGAAAGCTCATGTTGAGCTTCGGTTTCGAAAACGGACAAGCCAAGGTTGTTGCATTGATGCCGACTGAAGTTGTCGGTTGCGTGCAAGGTATAGCATGACCCGTTTATTCCCCCCTGGTGCGTGGGTGGGAAAATAGGGTGGGTCACGCAGCATGGGGCTAGAAAAAAATTCTAAACCCTCCTACCCCCCCGCCCAGCCAGAGCTGCACGGGATAAAATGAACAAATGTCCAAAAATAAAAATATCAAACATGAATTTGTCTGCACAGATTTCTTGGAAGACACATGAGTAACAATTGTTTGATTAATAGCATCATGTGGATGTTGGAGTATAGATTCCAGAATAAAGAAAAACACCAACAGTGATTTAAAGAAGATATTCTGGGTAAACCGATTGACGATTGACAGATTTCTCTTGTAGAATCGAGAGTAGGTCAATTGAAAGAGACAGGTTGTTTGTTTCCCAGTACAGACCTCAACAGTTTGTTTGTTGACACCAGGGAAGAAGGTCAGTGTGGGGTTCTGTTTTTCGTTTCCGTGCCTAAGATGGCACTGTGAAAATGATAAAAGACAGTTTTACCCCTTTCAGGGAGATGCACCGTCTTTAGAAATTTTCAGAAGCGTCACTTCCGAGTGTTTGGAAAAATTTATAAAACAAAGCGAAGCGTACTTATGATTTCGCATTGAATTATATAATTATATAAAAAAATTATATGTATAAATTTAAACTCCGTGAGTACTGTAGAGTTTCTTATAATTCTTTATTGTTTTCCGACTTGATAATTTTCTTTGATATATGATTTCCTTTTTGCGAATTCCTTAATTGAGTGGTCGGGGGTCATGGAAAACTCATGTTGAGCTTCGGTTTCGAAAACGGACAAGCCAAGGTTGTTGCATTGATGCCGACTGAAGTTGTCGGTTGCGTGCAAGGTATAGCATGACCCGTTTATTCCCCCGTGAAGTCGTCATGCTGTTGCAGCTCTAGCTGAAGGCTGTTTGCATGCTGAATGCTTGCTGAAGGAGTGTCGGCATTTGTTTGAAGTCTCTACAGAGTTTAGCAACGGTTTCAACATTGACAGCTTCTACACAAGCAGCACTTCATGACCGTAGGTGGTCCAGTGGGCGAACGCTCGGGCTGAACAAGGGAGGATTCCCCTAGGAAAGAACTGAGAGCCCTCAAACATGCACAAATCGTCGTGAGATGCTAACATACCGTCCTACGAATGCAAAATGCAAGGCCGGATGCTCAACTTTTTCACGTGAAAACTGCCTCATCCCTTTCACTCGTGAGCCGTTTTTTGGGGCCCGCAGGTCCGAACATCAAAACTATTTGTGGAATTTCATCGGAACAAAAACATCATCTAGCAGCATGTGGAATTCACTGCATCAAACATACTACAGTGTATGTTAGTTTCCAGTTGTTATAAACTACAAGACATTTGATCATTCCTATCGAATTTGCTCTCTGTCAAATTCTATGGAGTCTCTGGCATGTTTTACGGGCAAAAGGCTGTTAATTTTTTCAAAGGTTTTTTTTTCTGACTGGGAACCAAGCAAAACACAGATTTCTCAAACAAAACCCATAGCAAACATTCATTCCTGCACATTCATTTTCTTTCAGCAGTGCCAGTTTGTTTTTGGATTTTGTCCAATTTCAAGGGTGCTTTGTTTTTGTTTGGCTGCCAAAATGTCATTCTGTGCTTTCCAAAAATGACATCGCCCTGCCCAATTTCAAAGTATTTCAATTGCACGGACCATGAATTGACCACGCACAAAAACACCGCGCCAGGCAGTTGTGTACGATGAACGCAACCATCGAGAGCTCAGGGAACTCAGGCATGTGGTTTTTTAAAATGATTGCCGAGTGAGTGTGTAATCCCAGTGTGCAGTGATTGGTGAATTTGCGGTTGGTCTTGCTCGACATGGAACCGTTTCATCAATATTCGCACGCCAAGCAGGGCAGGGAAATGTGTTCATCCAAGAACGCCCCAAAAAAACACAACCCTTTATCGTACTTCACATTCCGTTGCAGGCCGGAAGAGATTGGTGGCAGGACGAGCAAGTACAGGCAGGGAAAATTTAGGACTTCACAGATCGGTCAATGGAGCTGAATTTCAATATCAATACCTTCATGGAAATTTGGCGCGACAAAATCATGTCAGAACACATTGGATAGGGCTGCCCAGTCAGGTGGTCACAAACCAATTGGGAAATTCGATGTCAAGTGCCAGTCGATCCAGAATCTTGGGCTTATAACGCATCTCATCATTGCAACAATCACCGACTCAATGAAGGTGTTGGGATCACAGTTTCAGCGTTTTGTGCACCATTCAGCATTGTTTTTACAATGAGATTGGAACTGGAAACTTTGAAGTTGAAAGGGCGCAGACTCTTGGGATTTAGAATTTATACATGGAGAAAAGGCCTGAATTCTGCTTCCTTGGTATCAAGCCAAGGAGACGACAAAGTATGACATCCAGTGCTGCATAAAGCGAATGTCTCAGGATCCGAACGCACGTAGCTGACGTAGCTGACGTAGCTGACGTAGATGTGGCACTTTGGAACCAAACGAATTCCTGAGGCGAAGGCACCTCTTGTTGCAGGTCTTTGAGGAGGCTTGATGCACAGAAGGAAACAAAAGTGGAACTCACCAAACGGATCTGAATGGTCAGGTTATCTTTAATGGCCCTCTAGTGGATGATGTGGATTTGGAGGACTTGGGAGACAAGATGCAAGTGGCCTTTTTTAAAAAAATAAGGTGCACAACTGCACAATCGTGTACACAAAGAGGGAAATAATCAAGACGGAAACCTTCCGTGCATCATACTTTGGCTGGCTTGAGTCACTTGTTGATAGTTCGAGTATCGCACGATTTGAAGAAGTAAGGCAGATTGCAGGATATGTGCAGATTTGCTCTTTGCAGGAGTCTTGTTGGACTTTGGAAAGACACACTGACAGCTTTCCCCCAAAGTTCCAGACCCATTGCTGATCAAAGCAAAGCAGAGCACCCTCCACCTTTTTACGTTGGATAGACTGGACTATCAGACAATTTGATGGACAACCCATCTGAGGCTAGAAATCAACATCGTTCTCAAAAAGGACGCTGATTTTTATGTTTCTCTCGACACAAGTGGTGACTGTCAGGGAATCATTTCACTCGCAAACTCGCAAACTGTATATAGAGGATCCTATACTGGCACTAGTTTTAAGGACCCAAGGTGAAGCAACGGTGAATTTCCTTTGCATGCCAGCATGCTTTCGAAGATGATGTGTAGAGTGTGAACTTCTGGTGATTTTCCTCCAGGAAAGGGAATCACAAGGCCGCAACCACTGGAGATGCATTGCCCAAAACCAAGTTGATGGTCCCCAGCCAGCAAAGCAGTACAATTCATTTGAGGGTACCTGCCAACAGCTACCCTTGTTCCACGAGTTCAAAAAAATCCAGTCCCCATCTTGGTCACACATGAGGTGCAAGGCGAGCCGCAGATAGATGTTGACTGGCTTGGTCCACCAATCAAGGCAAGCTTTCTCCATAACATGGGGCGCACCTTCTCTGAAATTTGCGAGACCAGTCCAAGTTGGCCAACAAACTTGTATGACGTGCCACAGCGTTGGTCAGCAATTAAGTCCTGGTTCCAACACTGAAACCGTGGAATGAAAGAATTCTGAAAGATCCCGAAAGATGAATCAAATTTTGCAGTTTGGCACCTACGTCAGGTTATGTCAGGTTATGTCAGGTTACAATCCGGTTGCCAAATGTTTCAGGTGGTGCACCCCATGGACGTTGCCACGTTGCGTCTTTTGCAGCAGAACAGCGAAGATCCGGTGCGGGACCTCGGATGTTTCTCTAATATGTGGGTCCCATGTTTCTCTGTTTCTCCATGTTTTGTAGTTCAGTTCTGCCAGATGTGGGACAACCGAAATGACCTGACAATTTCAAAAAAATCTCGAGACAAGTCTGCACGGTATGATTTAGAATGACTTAGAATGACCAATATCACCTGGAGCATCCTCGATCCCTTTGCCAACTTGCCCAACTTGCCCATGCCCTGTGTAGGCAATGCCATTCTGCAACATGCGTGATACCATGGCGAAAGCTCGCTCACAAAAGCCGTGTGCTGGTACGTCAAAAAAAGGTGCCTCTCCCTTGCAAAATATTGTGCCGGTCTTTTCCATAGACACTCATTGACTGAAGAGATTTTGTTGAAATCACTGTGCTGTTTATGGCTTAAGCTTACTTGACAAAACAGAGCTTCTTTGCCCATCTCGGGCTGTCCTTCTTGCAGCTTGAAGCCAAGCTTGAATTAGGGGGACAGTGTGTGGGCTGCGACTCTTGTTCCTGCTCATATCTTCCATGAAGTATTATTATTAGCTCCACTTGTTCAAGCATCTTTGCAGAAAGTGCAAGGTCAATGTCGGCCAAGAAGAAAGTCCTTCTCAAAGTGATCATCTTGGGAGATAGCGGGTGACCTTGGCTCAGATTAATGCTTTCTGAACTGTTTTCAGCATCTGGCAGCTGTTTCCTCTGCATTTGTTGTCCTGTACCATATGGACAACTGGACAACTGTGTTGGTGGGCAAGTGGCCAGATATACAAGGGACTGAACTATATAACAGCACACTGTGAAGAACAAGCCGCCAAAAACTCAAGCTGCATCGATGATATTCAATCTGTAGTAAGCAGAAACAATTTTAATATCCACCTGCCACCTGCTCTCAACATAGCTGGTTTGAAGTACACGGGGCTTCATCTGTGAATGGGCATTCTATTTGCTTGCCTTGATAGATGTATGTTTTTGCCTCATCACTCGCAACCACACAGACAGACACACACACATTTGGCAGGGTGGGCAAGACATCGTTGATGAACCAGTACGTCAACAAGAAGTTCACCAACCAGTACAAGGAAGAGGGGGTAGTGGGGTACAACAGCAGGACATTTGCATGGTGTACGGCTTGCACGTCTCGGCTTTCACATCTAACCGAAACGTGTGTGAATGAAGGCCACCATTGGTGCTGACTTTTTGACCAAAGAAGTCATGATCGATGACAAGCTCGTGACAATGCAGGCTGGAGCTCGTGACAAGAGGGTTCCGGTTAATATTCGGTGGAGAGTATAACACCCGAAGAACTGTTTTTTTTTTCCAGCTGAACAACCCAGTACATGGTGTGAAGTGAAGAAAGACTCTGACCAGTGATTGAAAGCAGCTGGAGGCTGAACTATTGATAAATCTGTGGTGAATCAGATCAAATTTGCTCCAGAAATAGCCGCATCGTTTTGCATCACTTCTGGCGATGCTCTCAGATTTGGGATACTGCTGGACAAGAGCGGTTTCAGTCCTTGGGTCAGGACCCTAGCCACGTCGGCCACATGTCTTGCCACCTCCCCCAGGGGATGCCAATGCGAAAAAGGAAACAACTAGGTATAACAGCCCCGGTATACCCTTTGGTAATTATGGTAATTTAAGCAATCCAATATTCAGGTTCAATAGGAATTATTCATCTTCCACAGCACCGTGTCTGCCAGAGGAGCAGAAATCTCTGGCTGTTTCTGAGGTGTTGCGTTCTATCGCGGTGCTGACTGCTGTGTCCTGGTACACGATCTGACTGTCGGTCACCCAGAAGTACATCTGCTTCAACAATTATATCGTGGGAGATAGGAAGCTGGTGTTAATAACAGCAATTTTGAGTTTTGAGCTTTTAGCAAACAAACTAGCAAAATGCCATCTGTCTCTCGGTTCTGGGGTCATGTTTTGTTTTTTTTGCCTTCCTTTCTTATTTACGCTGTCAGCAAAGCGCGTAGTTCGCCTTGTAAGTGCTGCACAATGCCATAGGGAACAGGGTTCCCGAATTGCAAACAAACACGTAGACTCTGAAAGAAGGTGCTGTCTTGCCATTACACACGGTCACAAATGGTAGTGTCCTCGTTTGCCGGACCAACTGAACTCTAGTTTACCAGCACAGGAACTACTTAACATGAAATTTGCTCCTTGCCTAAATCAGTTGAATGATCCACGTGCGAAAAAAGATGAAGGGAAATGCTCTAGTTGAGAGTTTTGGTGCATTGATTGTCAGATTGCCCCAAGGTGCCAAAGACCTTCGAATCCTTGGAGGTTTGGCGTGATGAGTTCCTTATCCAGGCTGGTTCCCAATTACCGGCAGAGTGAAAAGCTATGAAAAGATAACAGAAGACATAGAAGACAACAAGGCCAGTGAACCCAGCGAACCCAGCGAACCCTCCTTGCTAGTCCGCCTCCGCTGTGTTGGACCCTGCGCCAGGCAAGTCCTCGTGGCTTGGCAGTGCGACATGTGCCGACATTTTGAAAATTGTCACAATCTCCCTGTGTCTTTTTTTTGTTTTACGGAAATTCTGAGGCGATCCTGACAATTTTCCCTTTGTTGTGCTTGGCAACAAGGCGTGGAGACTGGTTTTTGGCGGTTACTTTAGAGCAATACAAACATGGTTGGCAGCTGGCAGTTGCAAGCGCTCAAATCATTGGGAGCATTGACAGCCTGAACAGCCCTGAAAACAACACACGATAACACACGTAATGCAAAGGTACTGTGGATCATAGTGCGCAAAACTTGCAAACCATGGGGTCAATTTTCTATAGTGGGCTTGTCTGCATTTTACTCTTATGCCGATGGGGCACCCCACGTGCTTTAGAGTTTCGTTCCTCGTGCACTTCGTCGGGAACTGCTTTCCAGCTGTTCCAGCACTGCAGGCAGATCTCGAGAGCAAGCGCAAGGCTCCAGCGCTTGAAATTGCTGCAATGCTCCTAAAGTTTGCACAGCAACGCTTGGAGGTTACCGCAGCTAAAGCCACACAGTGGTGCAAGTCGAAAAACAGCATACCGTGCGCAAACTCGGCATTTTGTACCCCTCAGGTCGTGCTTGAGCTAACATTCCATGCTTAACATTCCACTCTTCTGCAGCACATTGGAGCTGTCATGACAAGGTACCACGAGACCAGTGCTGCCACTGCACAGAACGTGGAGGTTGGGAAGTCTTTGAAGAGCTTGAAGATGATTGTCATTGGTGTGTGTGTGTGTTTGCATCCTGCGAGTCTGCAAGCATCCGTTTCCAACGTCACTAGGGCCACTAGCGGACAAAGAGGACATCGAGGCACCCCAAGGCCTCCGGACATTGCCCGACCCAGGTAGCCTTTCAGGAGATCGCTCGCCGGGCATTAAAGCAGGAACATACAGAGGACCCGATGCATCCCTGGCCTTGGTTGAAGCAAAGGGAACTTGTTTGACTGCCACAGTCTCTCTGTCGAGTCTACCTATGTCTACCTCCTCCTTCTTTCCCTGTATTTTTCTCATCTTTTTCCGTTTTCCCATCGTTTCTCCTGGTTCGTCCTTGCAAATGACAGCATCTTTGGATAGGATAGGTAAGAGAACGCAGCTCATGGCAGCTGCTTCTTTGAAAAGCGAGGAATGCAGGTGTTTGCTAGCGTATGCTCCCACTATGATTAGAGTGACCAGTTTCCAGAAACTGTGGGGACACTTTTTTGCATCAGACAGTTTTGACAGCAAGGGATTTGCAGACAATGCGTAAGAACTTGTGCCCTCTACTGTAGGCACTTGACGTGATTCCTCTGCATGTGTGCTTTTCTTTTTCCTGGAAGTCCTCTATTCAATTCAGAATGCAGTGAGCTCATCTGATCTTTCCGCCAGATACCTTCCAGAGACGCTGACCCTGAATAATCAGCAGAACTTCTCCAACAATCGACCCATGGGGTGCGCCAGTGCCAGTGTTCTCAAAGCCTCCATGGTTGCATTTTTGACTTTGGATGAAGGGTATCCAGTAGTGGCAGTCCTGAACGTTCTGGTGCCAGGCCTGATTGTGCCTGCTGAGTCTGCTTTCAGGGGCGGGCAGGTCAGTTGATGCTTGAAAGTCTCAATCCAAGATAAAGAGCTGGAGCAATATCCAGCTGTTTGAGCCATTTGCCCAACAATGTTGGTATTGTGAGACTGTGAGATGGACCCTTTTCAGCATCACAATCTGAACGATCGGACCAGCTGAGCACAGCGAAGCTCACGGGTTCTGCACGAGCTGAAAGCTCCAATTCAGATGACTGGCAGTGGCTTCTCGACCATGAGATCATGACATTCCATAGAAATTGCTGATGGGACCGGGCCACTGCCAGCAATCCTGCGAATTGACCCTCAACAGGCAGTCAGTAAGGCAGGACGTTGGAGGTGGGCCTTTGTTGTTGTCCTGCTCATAGCCAGGAGGCTGGGCCAGTGAACAAAGAAGTTCCGGATATGTTCTCCTTGGATCCAGAACCAACATAGTCACGACATAGTCCTATGTTCTCTTCTGGTCTCTTCCAGCCAATCGAGACAACTGAGATAACTGAGATATATGTTATGTTCATTTCGACAGGCCCATGTGTTCTGTGCTTCCTTTTTGGCTGTTCAAGTGGCCGGCCTTGGTGCAGACATGGCTCACAGCCCTTGGACAATGTCAGGGACGAATCACGGGGTTGTGCAGATCGAAATTTGGCGAAGGCTTTTGAACCAAAATGAATAGAATGCACTTTGCTTCAAATTGGCTTCAACGAAAATTTGAACCAAAAAGAAGGCCAATACTTTGTTGTTTGATCATTTTCATCGAGTACGAGTCGTGCCACGCGAATCCCTTGGAAGCCGCTTCTGCTTCAGATGACGGTCTGTCAGTCAGGCCTTCAGAGTTGTGGACCCGGGGGAGTTTCACCCCGTGCAGGAGCAGCTGGATGGCGAAGGATGGCCACTGTGCGGCCAGTGGCGGTTCCTTTCAAAGCTGTTGTGAACATACAAAGTCAAAGCACACGCTTGCAGCCAGCTAGCTGCTCCTCACATTTTGCAGAACAAAAAACAAGCGATGGCGGACACACGTTTGCTGATTTGAATTTCACCAATCTACCCTGTTGCTTCGTGTGAGCTTTGGAGGTCTCCGATGCAATGGTTTTTCCCAGACTCCGACCGATGGCTTTGGCTGTGGTATTGCCTCAAGCTTCTTGTTTCGAAGCTCTGCGAACACTTTTGTTGCCAGCCATGGGTTGCAATTCCAGCACTTCAAAGTCCCACGTAGCTCCCTCAGGTGACTGTGCACACATTTTTGACGCGATGTCATCAACCTGTTAAGCTGCCAAGCATTTTTCTCTGAGGCTGGCAGGACCTTGCTAAACAGCACCAACCCCGCCAAGGCACTGAAACTCCAATGATGATGCTCTAAGTAAACAGCTAGTCTCGAGCAGGCTGCTGGATGTTCGGAAGAACACAATTTTGGTCGTGCAAAGGTAACTATCCGCACCTCATGTACTCTTTGTGGATATGGGTGTTCAATGGGGCTTTTGTGATTTGACCCTGTGCTAACTGAGCTCCCTTTCCAGGCCAGGCATGACGGGAGCGGCACTCAGACTGGCTTTGCTGAGTGTGCACCTGGCACTTTTGACAGTTCTTGCCGTGTTTCACAGAATTTTGTGAAGGTCCCGACACGAGGAGAACAGGGAAGGGTGCCTTCGAGCTTCAGAGTTTCAGAGAATTAGCACCAAACATCACCCAAACAGCGCAGCGAGCAATGTGGTTCTGCGTTGGTTGCCCGCTCTGCCCATTCAAGACATGTTATAACTTTCTGGCAGGACAAGCCCGTGGCAAAAGTGGTTTCCGAAGCTCAGGTGATGCAGTACACCCCCACAGAGGACAGAAAGCCACATTGGACTCATTGGACTTGACATGTCCAAGAAACCCTTTGTGTGTTTCAACTGATTCTGCCATTGGTGCAACAAGTATCAGATCAGGAAGAGGAGGAAGAGGAGGAAAAGTCCGCATGTCAGAAATTGCGCATGTTCTGAGACTGAGAGATGTGAGCCCAGCAACTTGCTGCTCAGGCCAAAAGCTGCGAGAAAGAATCAGCGGAAGGTTCCTTGTGGGAGGGGCTCATAGGGTTCCTTCCAGCGGAGTCAGAACAGTTTTCTTGCTCTCGTGCAGATTGTGCTTTCAGTGGACGATGGATTGTAACACCTGAGAGGTGACCCCATGGCATGTGGCAGGAGCTGGGAGCCCGGAAGTTGCAGATCGTAACTATGACATTTTGACAGGTCACACATGGCTTCAGCGTGCAGCTTTGCGTTGCACCAGTTGCACCAGCCCCACAGTTTCAAGGCTGTCAACCTCGATGATGAAGATGATGATGAAGAGGTGGAGACCAAGGCAGAGCCTGAAACTGGCTCAGAGCCCTTGCAGTCAGAAGCTCAGGGCCTGGAATGGACACACACACAGTGCCTTGACTTTCGATTTTCAACAGATTTCAAACCATTTTGGCAGGCGCAAAGTCAAGCGCAAGGCAACACCTTGGACGAAGGTCCCAGTTTCTGACGATGAAGATGATGAGGAGGCAAGATGGCCAGACCTTGTCATCTTGGGATTTGAAAGGTGTATTCCGGGAAGCCGGATGTGGTCAGGTCGAGGAAGCCCTGGAAGAACCAGTGGATGTCGGCTGCCAAGACTTTCAAGTCGTGAGTCGTGCTGTCGAATGCAATGGCGTCAGTTGCAGGATATGAAGACGGCCTCTGACGCCTTGATGGAGCTGACGACGGCCAGGATGCCAAAAGTGTGACAGAGCAATCAGGGCACTGGACTTCTGATTCCACGAGGTTCACGATGTTCATGTGCTTGTGAAATGAACATGGTCTAAGGTAAAGGTCCCGTCTGCAACTGGTGGCGGCAACTTCTGTCTTTTCGCAAGCTGCGCTACAGGTAGCTGCTGCGGCCAGGACTGGACTTGACTTGGACTGCACTGCCCGTGCTGCTTTGTGTTACTTTTCAAGGTGACAAACATGTTGTTTTCGCCTTTATTGATTTGTCGGTCCCAACTGTGTGAATCGGGCATGAGTGGGCTATGTTCCAACTTCATGAAGGGAAAGCAGCTCCTTTGCAGAGTAGTACTGTGATCCCCCTCGACATCTCGAAAGATCGCTGCAGGACGCTCATACCGAACTTGTCCTGACCCCCACCGCAACCAAGATGTAAACGTTCTAGATAGCTCGACAAAGCACCTTGGATGACAGAAGAAAGAATGCTCAAGTGATTAACAGACTTTATTGTTGCGCACTCTTGAATATCCGAACGCAGAAAAATCATAAACGTACTAAACGTACTGTCAATTTTCAATTCCACCTTCCTCATCCTTCCACCTCATCCACGTGCATCAAAATCAAACCACCGAATCAAGGTCTTGCCACCGGGTCTTTGCGAAGCAAAGGCGAAGGCCTTTGGCTGATAATGGGAACAAACCCAGTTTCAGCGATGTTTCGGTGTTGAACCTATATTGACTGGCAGATCTCAGTCTACATGCGTCGAAGACGCTTTGATGAGTTTGCCATTTTTGGTGGAAGATACCATGTGATACAAGGTGTGGGATGGTTCGGAGGCTTCCTCGGCGGGAGGACCCAAAATTCAGCAACTATGTCAACCCATTTTACCGTGCCAGTTCTCACATCCACAAGAAGCAACAAACCTTGACCAGTTCTGATCTGCACAAAGCAGTCAAGTTGGTCTACCTTCGACCCTGCACGTACATAGCTCTGCCCTGAACGTCGCCTTATGCTGATTGCCAGAGCCGCAATGACAGCAGTTGACGCAGTGGCAACATACGTATTTTCGCACAAGAATTCTCAGGAAAAAGCATGTTGACAGCAGGAAGTCAGATAAGTCAGCTACTCTGAGTGGGCCTGCTGTTAGGACGTAATCTGTGATTTCTGCAGATATTAGACTCGGCCCTATCACGGGCACGGTCCATGATGGGAAGAGCAACATCATCGTGAGTCTTGACCATACTCCTTGGATGCTCAAAGCTGTAATTCATCCTTGAAACAGAAGAGCTTCATTCTGCCGTGCCATGAAAGGATAGCATTCCAGGACGGACACCCTGCCCTACAGACACAAAAACAAAGAGAGATGCAAAGTCACCTGCAGGCACACAAATTACACAAATGCTGAACCAGCATTCAAAGCATTCAAAGTATTGACAGCGCCATCGGAAAGAGTCAAGCGGTTGAGTCCAGTTGGCAAGTTGGCAGTTGCCAAAATGTACGCGGAGCCTTCCTGGGAAGTAGGGGGCCTCAAATGAGGAATGGAATCTGCAGGACCAGGTAGACTTGAATGGACTTGCAACCTGCAGGCTGGCAGACGCATTTGGCAGAAGCCTCAAGAGGGTACAGTGATGCAACACACACACAGTGAGACTTGCGCAACTTACGCATATTTTTTGATGCCTTGAATGTGCCATGTGTGAGTCTTTCTGCGACACCACATTGCCTCAGGACCAGCTCTGCCAATGTTTACGAGGACTACAACGGAACGAAATACTCCCAGCGCTTTGGTGGAAGTTGTGTACGGTATTGCAAGACAATTAAGTCGTTGATAAGCAAGGAAATATTGACAATCCAACCGTTTGACTTTTCTGTTGACATCAAGTCACAAAGCAAATATTCCCTTTCTTTCCAGTTTTCCTCTATCATATTCAATTGCAACATGACACTTTGACTTTGATGCCACTTACTATTAAGACAGTTGTCCTGACCCTTTCATGTTCAAGCTGCCAGCAGGAGCCTGTAGGATCAAGCAGAGCAGGAGGTAAAGGGAAAGGCTCCCATCGAGGAAAGGGTTGGAAACTCAATGCTCAATGGACCAACTTCCCTCAGGTTTTTATTTTGTTTGTCACATTGGAGAGTGGTCGGTTCTCCTTGAGGCCAAAATAGACAGAAAGGTCGGAACAAAGGCTTGGACATGCCTTTTGCTGGAAACATTCAAGAAAACGCCGGCTTGAACTATCATGCGACCCAGTCTTCAGTCCCAATTGATGATCAGCACTGAAAGAGAGGCAACGTGGGCTTGAGTAGCTGGAAAGATCAGAAAGCCACACCAGGCTATCCATTGTACAATCTGACGCCTGGAGCAGAGGTGCCTGAGATGTGAGTCAGGCTTCAATGAAACCCTTTCTTTTGTTCCACTATCTATTTGATTTCTTATGCACAGGGCTTTGGCATATGGATTTGCTGCCTGGACCTACTTTGACTTTGTTGTTCAAACTTTTGAGAGAAGAAAGTTCCTGTGAAAAATGGAACGGGAAGGGAAATCATGCCTGCAAAACTGTGGCACTGTGATGAACCATGATGTAAGACCTTCTTGATTCAACTAATACGAGAGGATTTCTTAAGAAAAGTCTTCTCTGGGAGGTGGTTGGCAAAAAAACTTGCCAGTAGTGCACCAGTTTTTGCGTCAAAACGTGGCAAATTTGTTGAGAAATTTCATGTCAAAATCTCTTTCAGGCCAGAATTGTGCTGAAAGAGAGGTAGGTCAGGTAGGTATAGCAAGAGAGTGTGATCCAAAAGATATTGTTCAGTGCAGGTCAGAGGTCAGGTCTCCTCAATCGTACCATTTGGAGTCTTTGTGGACATTGGTGCGGAAAAGGATGGCTGGGACCTCAGCACAGATCTGCCTCTAAGCCAGAAGCTGACGGTCTCTGTGTTGTGTAGGATATTGGCCCCAACTGAAAACTATTAACTGTGTTGTGTTGAAAGAGGAACTATTCACTGTGCTTGCCCGACTTGGATCGTGGCTCTGGCGCAAGATATGTATTGACACTGCATTGACACCGCCCCTTCAAACATGTTTAAAATAGAAACTTCTTTTGTTTATGTTTCCAGATTGATTCCATGATTTGCCTCTAATTCTCAAGAGTTTGTCAGGTGCCCTTGAGTTGACCAAGTCTTCGTCGGAACACGACACTTTTGCTGTGACTTCTGTAGCACCAAGGTTTGCTCCCTTGGCCCAGGCGGCGTTTTTCATGGGGCTCCAGCTGACTACATACCTTGCGCACCGCCAGTATGTCTCAGGAGAAATCAAACATGTCACGAGGTTCCCAAACATGGCCATGGCATGCCATGGCGTGTTACTCGAATTGGAAAGGTCGCACTTTTCAGAGTGCAATGCTACGCCAGACGCAGGTGTACACTTCAACAGAACGATGTGGAAGTGGGACAGGCCTGGGGCCAGCAGGGTTACAATGCTGGCAATGCTTGAACAGCAGAGAGAAGGCTGTGATCATAATTTGGAGCCAAGTCTGCTTAGGGTTTGGACAGGGGGAGACGAAGCCTCACAAACACTTCCTCGTCTTACTCATGTCAAGTACAAACCCCAGCAAGCTGCAACTGAAACCAACACCTCTCGCTCGGCAAATCAATCTACCACCCAACCAAATTGCTGCAAATCTTCACACACTCATTGCATTCGAAACCAAACTTGAAAATGCGTCAGAGGTAGTTGATTGAGAATTGCATTCGCGAGTTCTTTGTTGGCGCACACCCTGCCAGATGCTGGAAACCCTTCGCGTCGAGACGGTTGATCTTGCGCACTTTGGCTGCACAATATTTCCTATGAAATATGCCATGGGCTTTCAATTGGAGCATTACCCAAGAATGCTTTGTTCCTTCTGACTGGATTTTGCAGGCTCCTTTGCTTCGGTTTGATCCTCTTTGCTCTGTCATGTCTGGTTCATTCCTCCAAAACCCTTGCCCCGTTTGTGTCGACCCAGGAGACAGCGGTTCTCGCTCGAAGGTCCTTACGAGGATACCGCAGCAGCCATTGTGCTTTCAAACATCAATCCGTTCTGAGCTTTTGGCGAGGAAATGGACTGGACGACTTGGAATCCAGAGGCACTCTGGAATGAGGCTTGGAAAGTGCACATACACAAAATGGACCCATTGAGTGTGGGACCTATATTTGAAACCCTGGGTTCCTCCCTGAGGATGCTCCATATGCAGCCCCTGGCAATTGGTGGGGTCAGCCTGAGTCCATAGCTCAGCACAGTTCTGATTTGAGATATCGCCAGAAGAATCCTTACTCTACATGTCCTCTTGATAGGACTGCACCATGCTCCCTCGAGCAAAAAACAATTCTGAGGGCAAGAGATTGGCCTTCTGTTGCGCTGGTACATGCTAAGTTGCAAGTAGTCCTAGACCAAGTAGAAAACCATTTCATACATGCAACAGATTAAGCTTGCATATCATTTTCTTTTTGCTGGGAATGTCGGAAGTGTCCAATTTCCATTATGCTTCAAGTTTGATTCAAAATTGGTAGGTTATTATGTGATATTGTGTGTTGAAGGGCCCCTTTGGATACTTTTGGTATTTCCTCGCACCTGCTTACTGCCCTCCGGCCCTTGGCTTCGACTCGTTTCGACGAGGAATGAGTCCTGGCACACAGCTTGGCACGGACAGGAGTGGAGTAACAAACTATTTACACGACTGACAGATAAGTGCTTCAGGTGCTGCCAATGATTTGAATCAGTAAAATCCATAGGCAAACATCAATCACACAAAGAACAAATAACTGTTCTAGTGTGTGTCACTGCTTTAAATCAAAATCGGGTCACCTACTGGATGCAGGAGTTAGCGTTCACAGAGAGAATATTTGAACTGTTCGCAAGTGCATGATGTCCATGCTGATCTGACACAGGAGACTTGGGATTGGTATTCAAGTGGCGAGCTGGATGCTTACAGGCATTCTTGCTGCAGTCTTCCCACATTGTCTTGTCACGATACGGCAGTGTTGCAAGACTTCAAATACCCTAAGAGATAGGTGGTGCACTCAGACATTGCTGTGAGATGAATGAAGGGATGACCAGCATCCGTCACAGGCAGCTTGTTGCAGAGCTCCCAGCAGTCCCACCTGAGGCTTTGTTGGGGGGAATCCAACTAGCACTGGGTTTGACAATATGTGTTGCTCTATGCCAGATTTGTGCTCGGTCTGCCACTGGCCACCAGAGGGAGAACAGGTTGGCATCTCGTTGTCAATCGCCAATTTTTGATGTAGCACCCTCTGCCCAACCATCTCACTTCATGTCGTGAGTCTTATAAAATCTCCATGAATCTCCAAACTATTACCCATCACTTGTTACCCATCAGTTGTTACCATTACCATCACTTATTGTGTTGTACAACGATTCCTTGAGATAGGGCCCTGCCGGGTTCACTTTTTACCTCGGCAGGAGATGAGCCGGGAGGAACTGACCGCGGGCGTTTTCAGATTTCTGGACGTGGACAAGGTGACCACGGTAGCAATGCTCAGTGCTGCTCCATGTCACCTGCCACAGCAAAGTTCCACCGAATGTCTGCCTGCGTAGGAAGGCTACCTGAACAAGCCCAAACTCTTTCAGTTTGCGGAGCTGACAGGAGACGAATTGAGCTGACAGAATTTTAGAAGCGCCAATTCTCACATTTTTTTTAAAGCACAACTCCTCTTGAACTCGATGTAGCTGCAGTATGCTGCAGTCGCTTTTGAAGACACAGGATTCGAAGGTGACAGCGTGGCTTGGGGGGAAGAGTACAACTTGATGTGCACGGAGCTTCGCTCAGATCAAGATGTCACAAGAATGGCAACTTGACAAGAGACTTTCAGACAGATGCGACACACAGAAAATTGCCTGAATGGAGATGCCAAGCAACCAAACCATGTGCAACTTAGCACAGCACATGAAAGGTGTCCTACCTTGAAAGCAAAGATGTACTGTATACAGTATACACTCTATATGCACTTTGTATACAGTGTAGACATGACCATGCTGAGGCGCACATGATGCGTGAAAGTTTGAGAACTGTCATTTTGCCAGTCGCAAAGAAGTGTGATGAGTGCGATATTGTCACTGTCACACGAATTGATTGTCTTTACAAGCTGCGTCTGGGTTCTTACAGAAGAATTCGTCGCATGCTTTTAAGAACCTTTGAGCATTTGAGGGTTTTTCATGCACTGAATGCTACATGCAAGATTTTTTAGAGCTATGCCAGATCATTGCAGATCTGTGCAGATGTCTCCTCTCCATATCAGCACAAGTCCAATGCTTTTGGTTGGGGGCTGGCCAGCTCTTTGCATCTCCGAATTCAGACACAGACCTGCACATCTGAGACACATAGCAACATCCAGGCCACAAAAGCAAAGACACAACACAGACAGGACACAAATACATTATAATTAATAATACATACTTGTACACATGGAAAAAGATGCAGACCTAGACGCAAATATACACATATTGACACACGATGCGACTCTTTGCTGAGGAGGTCAATTGTGACCAGAAGATTGGCCTGAACCAGAACAACTTTGAGTCTCTGGTGGTTTCTTGGCAGTGCAGGAAGACTTGGCATTTTGATTTGCAAAGGAACCATGTTGTCCAGTTCATCAGGAAATTAGTCCCCGCTTCATGGTGTACAGGCATTTTGAGCAGAATATCATGCATCATGAGCGCAAGACGTAGAACTGATTGTGCTGGAAACAAGTATGTAAAGAAGACCTTCTCTGGACCAGAAGGGGTTTGGTACCCTTAAGACTCAAATGTGTTGTGATGTGCCTGCTGCTTGAGTCTTTCAATTTCATTTTAATTGAAGGCTGATACTGGAGGATGCCCGTGCACAACGGAAGAGTTAGTGGCAGACTCAGCAAAAGGTCATTCTGAGTTATTCGGGATCATTTTGGCCGTCTTGGAACATTTTGGAACATTTTGGAACATCTGAGAGCAAAAAGTGGAAGGCAAGGAATTGTTATAATATAGGCTTAGTGTGCTGCCACCAGAGATTGGTGAAGCTGGAGAAGCCCTTTGAGGAAAGCAATGGCCATTTTATGGGATGGACGATGGTGCTGCATAGGCCAAGGATTAATGCCCACCAAGCCCTTCTGCAAGCATCAAGAACAAACTTGGAGAGCTTTAATCTATAGCATCAAGGAGGCCAGAACCTGAACTCAGTTGACAATAAACCGAGTAAGAAACGACTGTCAAAGCATGGAACTGGAGATTTGTTGGAGCATCCCAATGATCGATCAGCACTCCTAGATAAACTCCCTGGAAATTCAACACACACACACATCTACGTGATGCGCAGATCTTCTTGTGAAATGGTGCACCTGCACCTACGACGGAAAAAGTGATGCACGCAACCAAAAGAACACGAACACATAATGCAATTGCGGCTTATGCTTCCATAGATGCATTTGGCCAGCACTCTTGGACTGTAGCTACAACATGCCCTGGGCATGGCATGAACTGCAGAATGTGGAAGGGGGAAAGATGCTGTAGGTTCAAAGTTCTAAGAATGTTTGGTGCACTACACCAAAAGTTGATTTCTACAACTGGTCTTGAGGCTTGGGATACAACATCAAATTTGTTTGTTTTGCTGTACAGTAACTGTAACCAAGGACCAACTTTCAAGATGATTCCTTGACACAGATGGGTGGTGTCTTTTAGGCCTCAAATCCACAAGCTGAAGCGGGCTAAGCAGCCAAAATCAGCCAATCGGCTTCTGAGGTTTCGATCTACCGAAGCCTTTCAGAGCGGTCCGCCGCAAAGCTGCTGCAACTTCGAGCTGGAGCTCCAACAACAAAGCGTCGGGGACATAGGACGATTAGGACTCCATCATTGACCCGCAATTGAAACTTTTGTGATGTTTTATGGGTAGGGCTTTCGAAGTTTTACAGTAAATCAGAGTAAATTCATGTACAGTTCATGTAAATTCGCTAAGCATTGCGTTTTGCAATTCCACATTCCTGTGTAGGTGAACAACTGAAGCGAGATGCCTTCACTTGCTTGGACAAGGTTCGCATAAACTCAACCCGTCTCGCAACCGGGTCCGGCGACTGTTTGTGCACTGCCCAGGATGGGAATGGCTTCCTAAACTGCGAGGAATCAATGGTGTGGGCCCTCGCTACAGGACACGTGAAACTGTCATCAAATTCACATCAAGGGTAGGATTCTCCCAATCTGCCTACCCTCACTGGGTTGCGTGGTGTAGGGTCAATCACATATCCAACTTCCAAGCGAACACTGACGTCCCAAGCAGATCCCTGTAAACCACGGAACATGAACTCCTCTTCAACTTTGAAGTGAACCTCACACCCCAAATACTCCGAGACTGTGTTTCTTGGCGAAGTCTATTTGGTGGATTCTTGCGGTCGTTTGGGATTTCTGTCACATTTTTCATTTTGGTCTCGGTTGGGTGCCGTTGTGCTTGAAGGATTCGAAGGGGATGATCGCATGTGGCAACAACAATACATCGAATTGTGCAAGGACTGTCGGTCAGAGTGACAAGCTTATGGATGTTGACTCAGTCCTGTTAGTCGAGTCAAGGCTTGGTTATTGCCCATCGATAGTGATGGTCGTGCTCAATTTACAATCCAGTCAGATCAAACAAAACGGCCACAAACATGTCAAACACTCGCAAAGAACAAATCTGTTTTGCTGCATTTCGGCTTGAAGAGCGTCCAATTGCAGCTTTAGAACAGGCGAAGCTCGTGATGTGAAGGATGGTCCATGGACAAAAGTTGGAAGATATACACAAGCGATGGCACGCAATGTGTCAGGTTTGCGCAGCTCTAGCAAAACTCACTTGGCAGTGTGTCAAAACCTTGTACCCCTGGTGAACATCAAAATAGCTGGTAAATGGATGTTCATCCCATTAAGAATGGTATTAATAGGTATTGATCCATACCCACTTGGTGTGTGACAAAGTTCCCTATGAATGTTTTTGAATGACAGGTAGGTTATGGCGCACGTGACCTTCATTGCTCGCAGCGTAGATGGCAGCTCTGCACGAATATCAGTGCTTGCGCCACGTGTCGTGGGAATCTTAGGATCCAGGCGATGAGTTCACTGGGAGCCAAGGCCTTATCCTGGTCGAGACCTGGGATGATTCCAACAAGGCTCGATCTCAGCGATTCGACTAGATCTGTGGGTCAAATCGATGTCATATGAATAAGGGGATTCTGTAACATAGACCCGGGCAAGCCGGCGGCGGAAGTTTCCCAAACATAAATGACCTATAGTTCAAAGACAACCTGTCCCGACCGTGTCCTTCCCTCGACACTCCACACCTCACACCTCACACTGCACACTGCACACTGCACTCTTCGCACTCCAAACTTCACACTTCACACTCCACACTTCGCACTGCACACTTCACAGTCCACACTTCACACTTCACACTTCACAGTCCACACTTCACACTTCACAGTCCACACTTCTCACTTCGCACTTCAGACTTCACACTTCACACTCCACATTTCACACTTCTCACTTCTCACTGCTTCCTTCACACTCCAAACTTCACACTTCACGCTTCACACTTCTCACTTCGCACTTCACACTCCACACTTCACAGTCCACACTTCACACTTCTCACTTCACACTTCTCACTTCTCACTGCTTCCTTCACACTCCAAACTTCACACTTCTCACTTCGCACTTCACACTCCACACTTCACAGTCCACACTTCACACTTCTCACTTCTCACTGCTTCCTTCCCACTCCAAACTTCACACTCCAAACTTCACACTTCACACTTCTCACTTCGCACTTCACACTCCACACTTCACTCACACTTCACACTTCACAGTCCACACTTCACACTTCTCACTGCTTCCTTCACACTCCAAACCTCACACTTCACACTTCACACTTCACACTGCGCTCTTCGCACTCCACACTGCACAGTCCACACTTCACACTTCTCACTTCACACTTCTCACTTCTCACTGCTTCCTTCACACTCCAAACTTCACACTTCTCACTTCGCACTTCACACTCCACACTTCACAGTCCACACTTCACACTTCTCACTTCTCACTGCTTCCTTCCCACTCCAAACTTCACACTCCAAACTTCACACTTCTCACTTCGCACTTCACACTCCACACTCCACTCACACTTCACACTTCACACTTCTCACTTCTCACTGCTTCCTTCACACTCCAAACCTCACACTTCACACTTCACACTGCGCTCTTCGCACTCCAAACTGAAACTTCACACTCCACACTTCACACTTCCACTTCCCACTGCTTCCTTCACACTTCACACTTCACACTGCACTCTTCACGCCCCACACTTCACACTGCTCTAAACGTACGTCCAACAAAAAAACACTAGTGCCAAAATGGAGAAAATCTGCTAACAAACCCATTTCGCAGCCTTCATGCAGCCACTCCAATACGATTTACGAGATCCAGCTGCAAAAGACAATAGTAAGACGAATGCAGCCACAGCACGCAGCAACCTTGACGCAGCCATTACAATGCGATCTGCAGAGACTGAGTTGCAAAACACAATATATAAGTACGCGCAACGGCGTCGGAAATTGTAGCTCCAAAATCGGATCTCGACGCCACAGCGAAAAAAAGACGATTTTGAAGCACTTTTTAAAAGGATTTTTAGAAGGAAAATCGCTAGCGCCAAAATGGAGAAAATTTGCTAACAAATCCATGTCGCAGCCTTCATGCAGCCACTCCAATACGATTTACGAGATCCAGCTGCAAAAGACAATAGTATTACGAATGCAGCCACAGCACGCAGCAACCTTGACGCAGCCATTACAATGCGATCTGCTGAGATTGAGTTCCAAAACACAATAGAACTACGCGCAACGGCGTCGGAAATTGTAGCTCCAAAACCGGATCTCGACGCCAGAGCGAAAAAAAGACGATTTTGAAGCACTTTTAAAAAGGATTTTTAGAAGGAAAATCACTAGCGCCAAAATGGAGAAAATCTGCTAACAAATCCATGTCGCAGCCTTCATGCAGCCACTCCAATACAATTTACGAGATCCAGCTGCAAAAGACAATAGTATTACGAATGCAGCCACAGCACGCAGCAACCTTGACGCAGCCATTACAATGCGATCTGCAGAGATTGAGTTCCAAAACACAATAGAACTACGCGCAACGGCGTCGGAAATTGTAGCTCCAAAATCGGATCTCGACGCCACAGCGAAAAAAAGACGATTTTGAAGCACTTTTTAAAAGAATTTTTAGAAGGAAAATCACTAGCGCCAAAATGGAGAAAATCTGCTGACAAATCACTGTCGCAGCCTTCATGCAGCCACTCCAATACGATTTACGAAGTCGAGCTGCAAAAGACAATAGTATTACGAATGCAGCCACAGCACGAAGCAACCTTGACACAGCCATTTACATTGCGGGAACGATCCTAAAGTTGCAAAGCACAATGGAATTCCATTGGCAACTCATCCGCCAGCAACACTTGCAATCCCATTTACATTGAGGGAACGATCCTAGAGTTGCAAATCACAATGCAATTCCATCAGCAACTCGTCCACCAGCAACACTTGCAACCCCATTTACAATGCGGGAACGATCCTACAGTTGCAAATCACAATGGAATTCTGTCGACCACATATGCACGAAAAACAGTTGACACCCCATTTACAATGCGGAACCGATCCGAGAATGATCCGAGGATGATCCGAACATATCCGAGCATGATCCGACCACACACGAGACCGTCTCGCACCCGTCGCACCGCAAAGGTAGATCATCGAGGTTCGGGGACGGACTTTGTATGGAAAAACATAGGGTTTCGTGCATCTGCTATCTCTCAAAAACGCATTTCGTGCGAGACTTCCTCCAAAACTCCATCGGCCACTCCTCCACCAGCACCACTTGCAATCCCATTTACAGTGAGGGAACGATCCTAAAGTTGCAAATCACAATGCAATTCCATCGGCAACTCGTCCACCAGCAACACTTGCAACCCCATTTACAATGCGGGAACGATCCTACAGTTGCAAATCACAATGGAATTCTGTCGACCACACATGCACGAAAAACAGTTGACACCCCATTTACAATGCGGAACCGATCCGAGAATGATCCGAGGATGATCCGAACATATCCGAGCATGATCCGACCACACACGAGACCGTCTCGCACCCGTCGCACCGCAGAGGTAGATCATCGAGGTTCGGGGACGGACTTTGTATGGGAAAACATAGGGTTTCGTGCATCTGCTATCTCTCAAAAACGCATTTCGTGCGAGACTTCCTCCAAAACTCCATCGGCAACTCCTCCACCAGCACCACTTGCAATCCCATTTACAGTGAGGGAACAATTTCTTTGCTAACTCTTTCTGTGACTAACTCTTTTCCTCACTAACTCTTTCTTTGACTAACTTGTTTCTTTGCTAACTCCTTCTTTGACTACCTCATATATCCTGACTAACCCTTTCTTTGACTAACTCTTTCCCTCACTAACTCTTTCTTTGACTGACTCTTTCCCTCACTAACTCTTTCTTTGACTAACTCTTTCCCTCACTAACTCTTTCTTTGACTAACTCTTTCCCTGACTAACTGTTTCTTTGCTAACTTTTTCTTTGACTAACTTGACTAACTCTTTCCCTGACGAACTCTTTCTTTGCTAACTCTTTCTGTGACTAACTCTTTCCCTCACTAACTCTTTCTTTGACTAACTCTTTCCCTGACTAACTGTTTCTTTGCTAACTCTTTCTTTGACTAACTCTTTCCCTCACTAACTCTTTCTTTGACTAACTCTTTCCCTGACGAACTCTTTCTTTGCTAACTCTTTCTTTGACTAACTCTTTCCCTCACTCTTTCTTTGACTAACTCTTTCTTTGAACTCTTTCTTTGACTAACTCTTTCCCTGACTAACTCTTTCTTTGACTAACTCTTTCCCTGACATTCTAAAAGTCCGTAACACGGAAGTTTCTCCCCCTAAACTTCCTTTGAACATTCTATAACCCCCAACTTCCAAATCTTCCAATAATCTCAACCTGCAAAGTCTCTATTTTGATACTGATGCAGAGTACTGCCAGGTCTCCAAGCAGGTGAAGGACCAGGCCAAGGCTCTTCTGCGGAAACTGCACAACATGCCTCCCAGATGCTCAGTGGAAGGACCGGGCTTCCGGGTTCGCAGAGCTTAGCACAACTGGGATACAACTGGTACAAAGCGCAGCACTGCAGGAGCCGGGGAGTTTGTGTTCCACTACACCATGGACAATGGAACCTCGGCTCAAGTTGAACGCTGCATCATGCTGCATCATTTCAAACAAACATTGCATGATTCATTCATCTTTCTTGAAACCCTTAGGTGTGTGCTACATGGCTCTTTTTGACAAGAGCTGCTTGGCAGGACAAGTCCGAACAAAATTCCCTGAAGTTCGTGGAATGACCGGCAGAAGTTTGGACAATCTTGGAGCTAAGGCTATCCGAAAAACCTGGCCTTCTGTTTCCTGGAGGCCATGCTGCACCTTGCTGCACCTTGCTGCACCTTGCTGCACCTTGCTGCACCTTGCTGCACCTTGCTGCACCTGTAAGGTCACACTTGTCATTATTGGAACATATTGGAACCCAATTTTCCATTCATATTTTATTGATCGCTTTATATGACGAATGACCGCCATGAATTGGAAGGACATTCACCAGCTCTTCCAGCAGGAGTTGCAAAGGGAATTCGGCACAGGCGCGGCAGTAGGTGCTGTTTGAAAACTGTGAAAGAGACCGGGGTTGGATATGTTGGATCAAGCTTGAGGACTCAAACAATCACAGTTTTCTTAGTCACTTGAGGCCCGTTTTGGTTCTTGAACCATCCCCAAATTTGGCATATCCAGCTCTGATTCATACAAATAGCATGGGATTGGAATCCGCGCAAAGTAAAGAAAGCAGCTACAATGGTGGAACGAACCAAAATAGCCAATAGAATCAATAGAACACGTTTGCGACTTGGAGCCCACAATACGAAGGGTCCGCCGCGAAATGACATCGATTGGGTGGTATCACCAAGTTTCAAAAAGCAAATGGTCGATATTGGCCAATTTTCAGAACAAACAGAGGGATGACTCGGGATGACCCAAACCATGCCTGCTTCAAGCTCCACGGCAGGATCTGTGGACTACAGGTCTCACATTGAGACCATTGCAACATGGCTGATCTTAACTTGCACGTTTGCGTCCATAGAAGCCACATGTATGCTTTGCAGATTCACACGTTGAGAAAGTTGACATGTTTGTGTAAGGAGAAGCCATATTTTTTCATCAAATTTGACCGACAAATAACAAAGATACTTGGCCGCACAGAAGCAGATGATGTGTGGTCCATTGTCATTTGCAACCTGCAGTTGACTTGCTGAGGAAGAACGCAGAGTACAGGGATCCCAAGTCCTCCAAAGCTTTGAGCAAGTTGAACAACAATCTTCAAGAAGTCTCCAACATAATGAGGCCTTGGCAGTGCAGATGTGAGGTGGTTAGAAGCAACTCAGGATTGTAGACAATGGGTTTTTTCCTGTCAGAGTTCCAACATGCTCCAATTACATGCTCCAAGTACATGATATCACGTCGTCTAGCGAAACAGCAGTCGGAAAAGTCATAGCTTTGCAAGACATTGCAAGACCATGAGTTGCTCGAGGCAAAACATCGACGAAATCTTAAAGCGTGGCGAGAATCTTGAGTCTGTCGGGCGCAAGGCTTGAGCCCTGCATTTGAAATGCAAGAAAGCCATTGGGCTTCTTTTGCACCAGGAGTTCCACAGGAAGGGCACGACATGTTCCCTTAGTCCTTTGAAGATCCCTTTGGAACAGCATTCTGACACACACCGTGATACCTCTTCATAAGCAAATCCATAGCGCTTGATCTAGAGATCCCCAGGTGACAAGTTGCTCTTCAAAAAAGAAGACAAAAGGGTTCAGGGAGATGACGTCTTTCTGTTGATATGATGTCATTTGCATTTGTGAGTTCGTAATCTTCCTCGTTTTCCTTTGTGTTTGAGATCACTTTGAGATCTGAGACTGGGACGCTGCAAGGCCAACAGCATCAAAGAGGAGTCCAAGAAGTTCCGAAACATGACTGGTCAGCTGAGCTTCCAGACCATGCTTCAGAAGTGCGCCAACAGGCATTGTGTATAGCAGGCATTCTGAAGAATATGCGTTGTGATGTGATGCGTGGGGGCAGCAACTGTGTGTTTGACCAGGTACGGAGTCTTCGTGGTGATAGGGCTCATGGCGTTTTTGCTGATTTGCTTCAAGCTCTTCAGATCCTGATGCCATGTGCTGAAAATCTTGACCTTTGCCAAAGTGGAGGGTAGTTAATGTGAAACCGAAACAATCCGAAGGCAATCCTAAACAGCCAAGTTGTCACCTGCAAGTTGCGCCGAGCAGGAGGTGGCTTGCCGCTCGAGTAAGCCTGCTTCCAAATGATCAGTCAAAAACACATTTAATGTGATCATAAGATATAACAAAACGAACAAGGGCATTCTCTTGTTTCCAGGCAAACATTCCTGTCCATTAATCTGAATTTGTATCGAACAGAAATCAGAACTAGTTTGTCATCCTTGGCAAGCAGCGAGTGGTGTGGCGTTTTGCCTGCCAATGGCCCTGTGTAGCCTGCAGAGCTTTTTCACTACCATGGGATCCAGATCGCAGCGACATCACAAAGTTCTCAGCAAGCATTGGTAGCTCTCCCTTTTGGAGACATTTGGAGGATGGAATGGATGTCACTGCTGAATCTCGCAGTTTGCAGCTGCCATCTCGGAGGTTGAAGGGTTCAGATCAGAAGCCACAACCAGTTCAGCCAGTCGAATGGTGAGTCATTCTGCTTTGTCCAAGAACTACATTGCTCCTGCGCTGACCACAAATCTCCAAGCCCGTGGGATCACGGGTATTGCCACGCTGATGATTTCGAGCTAAGCTTATAAATCATATAATCTTATACAAGTTTCCCTAGATACGTGTGGCGTAGCATAATATGCTGCAACTTGATGTAAGACCCTGCCCGTAGCGTAAGTGATACGTAATTGGACTTGGGCATGTTGTGTGGGTTCGTGTTTAATCATTTTTTAAGTTGCCCGTCTTGAGACAGCATACATATTCAGATGCACCAATTGAGGGCTGCACTGTACTGTATAATGAGCATGTGCAGCTGCAAATCATCAGCTCGGCAATGTGCAGAATCCCGGTATTTGTTTTCCACGACGGGAAGGCACTGCCTTCAAGCGTGTACCGACACCCGTGCACCCGAAAGTAACGAGCTTCGTTTCAGCGCCTTTCAGAGTGGTGTGTTGGTCTATTGAGCCTATTGCCATCTATCAGGTTCTGTGCCTTTTTTGCTTCACAGCTCGTTTCTGCTGCACTGTTTTTGAACTGCAACAGCTTCACCAGATCTGGATTGCGAGGAAGCTGGCACTTTTCAAGGAGCTGGAGACTTGGGGTGTAGTGCAGATGTGTAGCAAGAAGGAATTCACACAATGAATGGATTCCTTCCATTGTGCATGGCACCTCTTTTTATGTCTGACTTTGCTATACTTTGCTGTGATGTTCGAACCAGCTCTGGTGCGCGCTTGTAGTTGGAAGACAACTTGTGACATCACTGTTTCGACTTTACGAGGTAAACTTTGAGAAGTTTGGAGACATGATTGACGACGATACTGAGGAAGGCATCAAAACCCGGCATACCGATTGATGGACGCAACAGAATAATACAACATATGGAGCGTGCGACACCAAAGCTGTTGTGCGACTGCAGAGGTAAAGGCAAGTCAAGAAAGGAGAAAACGTTTTCAAAAACAGTTATCAAAGGAAGTTGGGAAGCAGTACTTCCGTGTTACGGACAAATAGAATTGTGAGACTTGACCTTGATGAAGGGTGGTGTGAGAGTTGACATCACATAACAATACATCACAAAAGAATTGCCCTTGATGAAGGGGGGTGTGAGACTTGACATCACATAACAATACATCACAAAAGAATTGACATTGATGAAGGGCGGTGTGAGACTTGACATCATGACATAACAATACATCACAAAAGGATTGACATTGATGAAGGGCGGTCTGAGACTTGACATCACATAACAATACATCACAAAAGGATTGACATTGATGAAGGGCGGTGTGCGACTTGACATCACATAACAATACATCACAAAAGGATTGACATTGATGAAGGGCGGTGTGAGACTTGACATCACATAACAATACATCACAAAAGAATTGACATTGATGAAGGGCGGTGTGAGACTAAGGGAAGTGGTGACGAAGGGAGTGTGGTGACTTTGGGAAGTGGTGACTTCGGGAAGTGGTGAGGAAGGGAAATGGTGACTTTGGGAAGTGGAGACTTTGTAATGGCTGCATGAATGCTCAATGGGCTTTGTTTTGGAGTGTTGACGAAGGGAAGTGGTGAGGAAGGAAAGTGGTGGGAAGTGGTGACGAAGGGAAGTGATGTGGCTGCAGCCGACGATGAAAGGTACCTCCTGTGTGCGGCGGTTGCAGCTGCGGTCGGTTTGCCTTTTTTTCTACCGCATTGTAACCGTGGCTTCAAGCTGCTTTTGTGTGCTTGTGCGTGCGTAGTTATAGGGTGTTTTGGAATCTGTGGTTGCAGATCGCATTGGAATGGCTGATGATTGTTGTCATCTGGTGTTGCCATGTGCGTAGATACGTGCAGGTTTGCGACGTGATGCTGCGAAACGCATTGTAATGGCTGCATGAATGTTGCATGGGGCTTGTGTTGGGGAGGAAGCCCGAGCACGAAACCTTGTGTTTTTCCGTGTAAAGTGGTTGCAGCCGGCGATGAAAGGTACCTCCTGTGTGCGGCGGTTGCGGCTGCGGTCGGTTTGCCTTTTTTTTTTGCCGCATTGTAACGGTGGCTTCAAGCTGCTTTGGGTGTGCTTGTGCGTGCGTAGTTATAGAGTGTTTGGAATCTGTGGTTGCAGATCGCATTGGAATGGCTGCATGATTGTTGTCATCTGGTGTTGCCATGTGCGTAGATACGTGCAGGTTTGCGACGTGATGCTGCGAAACGCATTGTAATGGCTGCATGAATGTTGCATGGGGCTTGTGTTGGGGAGGAAGCCGGAGCACGAAACCTTGTGTTTTTCCGTGTCAAGTGGCTGCAGCCGGCGATGAGAGGTACTTCCTGTGTGCGGCGGTTGCGGCTGCGGTCGGTTTGCCTTTTTTTTTTGCCGCATTGTAACGGTGGCTTCAAGCTGCTTTGGGTGTGCTTGTGCGTGCGTAGTTATAGAGTGTTTTGGAATCTGTGGTTGCAGATTGCATTGGAATGGCTGCATGATTGTTGTCATCCTGGTGTTGCCATGTGCGTAGATACGTGCAGGTTTGCTACGTTATGATGCGAAACGCATTGTAATGGCTGCGTCAAGGTTGCTTGGCGCCGCGGCTGCATGCGTAATACTACAGTCTTTTGCAGCTGGAGATCTTAAATCATATTGGAGTGGCTGCATCAAGGCTGCGACAGTGATTTGTCAGCAGATTTTCTCAATTTTTGGCGCCAGTAATTTTCCTTTTAAAGCCTTTTTAAAAAGTGCTTCAAAATCGTCTTTTGTCGCTTTGGCGTCGAGATCCATCCGGTTTTGGAGCTGCAATTTCCGACGCCGTTGCGCGTAGTTCTATCGTGTCTTGCATTTCAGTGTCTGCAGATCGCAATGTAGTGGCTGCGTCAAGGTTGCTTGGTGCCGCGGCTGCATGCGTAATACTATTGTCTTTTGCAGCTGGATCTCGTAAATAGTATTGGAGTGGCTGCATCAAGGCTGCGACAGTGATTTGTCAGTAGATTTTCTCAATTTTGGTGCTAGCAATTTCCCATTTAAAAGTCCTTTTAGAAAGTGCTTCAAAATCGCGTTTTTTTTGCTTTGGCGCTGAGATCCGGCTTGAGAGCTGCAATTCCTGTTGTGGTTATGTACAAGAAAGCTTCTCTGTGTGAAAACTTGTTTCTGTAAAAGCTTGCTGTGTGTAAAAGATTTTGTGTGTAAAAGCTTGCTATGTGTAAAAGCTTCTCTGTGTGTAAAAGCTTCTCTGTGTAAAAGTTTCTTTGTACAAGCTTTGTAGTACAAAGTAGTACAGGAACGTGCTTTGTGCAAGCTTTGTAGTACAAAGTAGTGGGAAGTGCTTTGTGCAAGCTTTGTAGTACAAAGTAGTACTGGGAAGTGCTTTGTGCAAGCTTTGTAGTACAAAGTAGTACTGGAAGTGCTTTGTGCAAGCTTTGTAGTACAAAGTAGTAATGGGAAGTGCTTTGTGCAAGCTTTGTGGTACAAAGTATTTTGGAGAGGCTTTTCTGTGTAAATGCATCTGTGTCCCAAGTTCCTGTGTGCAAACGCTTTCTGCGCCCAATGGTTTTTGTGTGCAAGAGACTTCTCTCTCACAGTAAGAGCTTTCTGGCGTGCAGAACAGCTGAGATGAGTTGAGGCGAACTTCGAGGAGACGAGAAAGGTTGATCAGTGCTCGGATGAGATGAAAACAGTTGAGAAGAACCTACTTAGATGACATGGGTGAAATGAGAAGAGCTGAGATGAGGTGAGAAAAGCTCACATGATTTGAGATGAGATGAAGTGTGGAGTGTGAAGTGTGAAGAGTGCAGTGTGAAGTGTGAGGAAAGTGTTTGCTTGGCGTTGCATTGCGCCAGGGTCGTGCGCAGGTCATGTTCTTGGACAACACCTGTGCAACAGCTTCGGACAAAGCGCGCACGCACGGGCCTGGCTGGCGCACGGCGCATGCAAATTCTATAGATGAAAAAGGGCTTATAGTATATCCCTAAGGCAACTTCCGCCCCGCTTCGTGCGGGCACCACTGATGTATATATATATACATACACACATTATAATTTATATACCCTCATAGGGACTATCATCCTCATGTTCCTGTCAGAAGTTGGAGGCACAGTAGGACCAACATTTAAAGAAATTGGGTGCCTGGCTGCCTCAAGCTGCAGGTGTGGGCATGACAGATGATGAAATTCGACAGATGATCAAGGATCGTGGGATTTTTGTTGTTTTGTGATTGCCGTCTTGTGTACATTCTAGGATTTTCCATCGACATGGCATGATTGGACATTTTGCGCTTCCACTGCTACCTGTTTCTTTCTTGGACTCGGTAGAGTTTCTTGGTCGCGCGCCCGAGGGATCCTTACATATTGTTTGCACATTTTTGCATCCCTGTGACGTTTAAAATCATGTATTGTGTGCTTAAGTGATTGTGTTCAGCCATTTTGGTTTTTGGCAGCAAATCCTTGCCAAATGAAGACGCACACTGACACATTGGCTCTGTCAGGATGTTGCTTTCCTAAAGCCTGAAAAGAAGGACAAAAACCATTCAGCTGCGGTTTCACCAATGGTGTGGTTCCTTTCATGAGCAATGCACAGACGCTCCATTCCGGACTTTAGAGAACTGTATCCTGAATGTACTGCGAGAACATATTGCACAGACGCAATTTTGGAACTATATCCTGAACGTACTGCGAGAAGAGAAAGGAAGACAAACGAAAAATTTTTGGGTCGGGTACCTCGGTCTACCAAGAAGTGCTTTGGTTTGCTGTCTCCGCAGGAGGTGCACTACAGCCGGGAAGACTTGAAGCAGTCAGTGTTCTTCACTTAGTGCCAAAATCAGCTTAGTCATGACTTGTCAAGATTCATAACTTGCTGTTTGAGTATTCGCATTTGTGTTTAGCTTCCAGGTTTGAGATCCTGGATACTGACGGTGACGGCTTTTTAGGCCTCCCTGGAATCTGTTGGCCAAGTTGTTCCAGGGGTCAGCTAAGAGTTTTGTAAAAACAAGGGCGCAGTTGTGGGAGACTCCACAGTGCTGTTGTGAATGATGTGGTACTCATCCCAAAGGAACGAAATCATTTCAGTCTGCTTGGGTAGGTCAAGAGGAGCTTTGGCCGTTTGTCCAGCAAGCTGGCTTCGACGGAAACCATGCAGAGTGGAAAGAGGAGACTCTGCATTTGCTAATGAATGGTACACGACGCATAGGGACATATTGTGCATGTTGGTCAAGAATGGAGTCGTTTTGCTAGATTGGAGTACGGCCACAATGCCAAGTAGGAGATATAGGCAGAATCCCGGCCCTATAGGTTATTATACCGGTAAGGGCACACATGTACACAAGTGGAGTCCAGATCGGCACGAGCCTTGAGCTCGAAGAAAAGCGGCGGGAGAAAAATCAAGCATAGCCGGCATAGCCGGCATAGCCCTGAAGAAGCTCAGCCTTTCACACCTGGCAGGTCTTCACAGCTCCCAGAGCTTTTGTATGTTTTTGCCATCTAGGACTACCTGGAGCTTTGTGCTGAATACCAAGTGGATCCAAGTCGAGGCAGCTGGAAAGCTTGAATCCCATGGAGTACCGGCAGCATCTAGAAATATCCAGAAGTGTGGCCGACTTGTGAGGCTTGAGTTGCATGGATTTTGGTGCTCTTCTGGACGATGATTCAGATCAGGCCAGGCAAATGAGGGACAGAGTATCAAAATGTATCAGTGAATATATGTTGAATTCATCCAGTGTAGACTCACGAATGTGAAGTCTGTCGGCGGACCTTTGCGAGGGAATCTACTGCACAGAGAACGAGCTAAAAGCGATTCTTGAAGAGAGGCAGGAAGAGGCGCATCGCCTATCCTGCAGTGCCTTTGCTCGTTTATTGACGTAGACTTTGCTTTAGTATGTTTGATGATGCGTACGTGCTCACTAGAAGCTTGACCCTGCCAGGCAAAGTCAAAGAGAGGTGACTCAGCTGGACTTGTCAATAGATCCACTTTCTATTGCTTACAACTTCTGGTGCAGGCATTCCAATGAAAGATGAAGCGAAGGGGGTGGAGAAGGGCAAAGGGAAGGGCAAGGACAGAAACCAGGCAAAGGGAAAAGAGAAAGGAGCAGAAAAAGGCAAAGAAAAAGGCGGTAAAGGCAAGGAGAAGGGCAAGGAGAAGGGAAAGGGAAAGGAGAAGGGTAGCAAAGGTAAGGACAAAGGAAAAGGGAAAGAAGCTCCAGAGGCACCAGAGGCAAGTGGAACCCCAGAGGGAGACCCACTGGCAGGTGCCAAGCTTGAGCTGTGACAAGTTGCGATCATGCATCAACTTAGCAGAGTATTCGAGACTTTGAGTGAACTTGAAAAGGTGCAGATCCCTGGTCAACCCCTTCGGCACTGCGGCACAAAGAACGACTGCAGCAAGAGAAGAAATTAGAAGATGAGTGGCATGCCTAAGATGTTTGAACACGCTTTCGAACTCTTTGCTTTGGCAGAGACCATGTGTTTGATGTTTTTGGTGCGTCCCAGAATGTTCAGTTCTAAGTGGACGGCTTAAACATGTTCGCTGCAACCCTGACGTTGCTCCGCGTCTGACTTCAGGTGGATATGAAGATAAAGTTGATGTTATTACCCCAATCAACATATTGTTCATAGGGGGTGGCGAATTTTGATCCCTTATGAAGATAAAGTTGATATTATTACCCCAATCAACATATTGTTCATAGGGGGTGGCAAATTTTGATCCCTTATGAAGTTAAAGTTGATGTTATTGCCCCAGTCAAAATATTGTTCAGAGGGGGTGGCGAATTTTGACCCCTCATGAAGATAAAGTTGATGTTATTACCCCAGTCAACATATTGTTCATAGGGGGTGGCAAATTTTAATGTGATGATGATCATGATGTGGTGATGATGATGATTATGATGATGATGATGATGATGAGGAGCAACGTCCGGGTTGGGGCGAACATGTTGAAATACTGAGGACATGGAACCAGTGGCGAGATGCGGGCAAGCCAGGCCATTCAATTATTCCGTCCAAATTTCCACTGACTTATCCTTTCATGTCTTGGATCCAGGTGCTGAAGTCGATACCGCCAAGCCAGCTGTAGATGGTCAGAAACTCTTGGAGGCGCGACGTAATTAGGTTTTAGATGGCTTTAGATGGCTTTAGATGATGATTGGTTGATGCATGGCATATCATGTAACAGTACTGTAACATCATAAAAAGCCAATTGTTTGCTGGGTAATTCCTATGATTTCCGTACCTCGCAGGCTACCAGAGCAGCCATCGCCAAGCGAAAGGCCGAAGCGCAGGCGAAAGCCCAAGCAGAGGCTGAGGCGGAAGCTGCAAAGGCCATGAGGCCAGAAGAGGATGCAGAGGAGGCGACAGGGAGAAAACTTTCCTCAGTTTCTGGGTGAAGTCGGTTTCTGCTTTCTAGATCTTACTTTCCTTTCGAGGGAGTTTCAGTTTTATCATGGATGTCCTATATACCGAAATTATGCTTGTGTGTGGAGTGCTGTCGACAATGTGGCGGTTTGACCCCCAAGACAGTTTGTGTGTTTCCTCAGCTTTCTCTCATCATTTCAAGGATTTCAAGGATGCGTCATTCTTGTGCCAGGAGGACGAAGACCAGGCACTTGGATGCGAGAAAAGTAGAGTGCCGACCCAGGCCATGTACGATGCAAGGATCACCAGGTCACCAGGTTAGCCAAACAGCATGAAATTTCTGATACAAGTTGTGATACAAAATTTGTGATACAATTGGTCTTTTGAATCTTTTGAATCTTTTGTGCATTGATGTTGCATCAGGCTCGACCCCCTCCTCCACCAGTTCCTCATGCAGAGGTGCTCAGCTGTTCTGTGCTGCAAGTAGGCAAGTTCTTGTTCGCAAGTCCTGTGGAGGCAGAAGACGAGGATTTTTGGGCTCCCAGCATGCAGCCCAAGCAAGGCCATCAATTCTTTGTGATTCTTGTGATATGCAGAGCTTTCCACCGCATTGATGCAGATGATGGCATGTGGAAAGCGGCCCCGCAGCTCAAAGCTGTGTCCATGGGTGCTGCCCTCGCAGGCGTGAAACCTGATAAGTTCATCAGAGCTTTTAATAACACAACTACAGGCATGTATTGTACGCGGCTTCAACGCGCTTCACAACACACAGATTCTTGCTTCTGCATCCACCCTCACGAAAAGCTTGAGGAGTGGGTGCCGCAATAGCACAATTGGCCATGGGAGACAGGGATGCAATTCAGGAGACTTGGGAGCAGAGTGGACACATTCAGACGCATTTGCTGAACATTGGTGAATATCTGCGCCCGATAAATCATATCATATACAAGTGAATAGATAGATAGATCAACTATGGTAGATGATATTATGTATATATATTTATATATAGTATAGTCAGTATAGTGGTATAAATAGATGTATTACATCCCCATACATGTTGGGTCACAGTTCCCAGTCTATCAGCTTTCCCGGAGGAGCTGGCACGGCATGTGGGTGGTGCCCCCTGTGTGGCACATGCTGCTGCCGTTGCCAGCAGCGCCCTTGGGTCCCTGTTGAAAGGCAGAACCGAGGAGGCCACGGCGAAGTTGGGGTATACCATGATGTATAACCCCCAGTCGAGTGGTTAATCCGCATATCTGAAAAACAACATGTAGACATTCTATATGTTAATGATTGTCAACGTATATACATGATTTCTCGTAAAAAGGTAGCCATTCTTGGAGAAAACCATGATAAACCATCTACTTTGGGGACGAACATTCACAACAGCCAGCGATTTTGATGTGAACAGAAGGGTACCGATTCTCGGTACGAAGGTGAACTGATTTGACCCATCGACCTGGCACTATCCTGGCAGAATCCCCACCAAGAGATTTCCACAGGCTCGCGCTTTGCTTGCGCTGGATGAGGCTGGTGGTGTGATACTAGAGGTTATAATATATATATATATACATATTATATATTTGTATAATTTGTATCACACAGGCCTCTCCTTGCCATGGATTCGTTTCAGATTGAAGCGTTTTATGTCCATCTCATTCCCCACCTTTGGCGAACTGCATTTCAAACTCAAGAAAGTCAAAAGGGGGACATTTTGCCTTACAACATGATGAGCTTACAACATGATGAGAACAGGTCCTACTGCTCCCGGTGGAGGGAGACGCCACACTACTGCGTGGCCTCGAACGTCTTGCAGTCTGCTCAGATCCATAAAGTATCGAGTCCCAGTTTTGTTATGTTTTGTTGCCATCGGTGCAAACAGCTTCTATCTCCACAGAATTTACTCATTTTGTGAAGAGTTTGTGAAGAGTTCTCGGATGTTCTCGGATGTTCTTGGTGCTTTTCTATGCTTTTCGGATTTTTCCAGAAATCCAAGGCCCAAAGCGTTGGGAGTTCGGGTGCGCCTTTGCCGCTGCGGACCTTGGTGGCTGCTTTGTCAAAGGTGGAGGACCGGCATACGGAAGTGCGCTCTGCGGCCTGTGCGGCCACCGAAGCCCTGGTCAAAGGCACGGGTGGGACGTCTCTGAAGCAAAGAAGTTGGCCAAGTTGGCCAAGTTGGCCAAGTTGGCCGCCTGGAGTCCTTGAGTTTGGCTGAACCCAATATTTCACTAATTTCATCTCCGAATATTTAAAATTTACAGTTTCTGGATCTGTATACTATACCTGATCAAAGAGCTGATCCTGCAAAACAGACTCGTTGCTCGTGCTCCGGGTGCAGCCCTGCAAATGCTCCAGGTTCAGATCCGTTTGCATTTGAAGCTCTTTTGCCAGCCTTGGCGGCATCTCTGGAGCCCCGACGCAGTCCTGCCATGAAGCTGCACAGCTTGACACTGGGCTTTGGAGATGCTAAGGGTTACTTGTAGGATAGGACAGGGATGGACAGGGTAGGTTTAGTGCAGCTTTTTGAACTGCCTGTTTGTCCATTAGGAAGCTTCTGAAGCTTTGCTGGCGACGCAGCAAGGAGCTGAAATGCTTGAATGCTGGTAGTATATACAGATACGGAGGCATTGCAACATGTTTCAACTCCTGACATTGCGTTGGAGATGTCTTGAAGCGCTACTCCCATAATCAGGTCAAGGAAAAATTACAGCACCTCTATTTCAGGGGGAAAAAGCACGGTTTACCCAAGGAACTATGGAATTTCTGACGCTGCAGGATGGTGAAGCTGCAGTTGCTGAAAAGCTTCCAGAGCTTCTGCCTATCACAACAGCATTGCTGGTAGACACCAGCCACGAGGCCAAGGGGGAAGGATGGTGTGGGTATGGCGCATTTGACTGGAGACACTTATGCCTAAAAATGGAACTTTGCATGCCAGTGTTTCCAGGGAAACCTAGAGGCCACTTGGGTTCACTTACGGTATGTGAAGGTCCTTGACTTCGCCTCTCATTCAATCTTGAATTCTTTGTGTTTTTGCGTTCCACTACCTTCTGCAGACGCAGCTGGTGAAGGTGCGCGCTGTGGCAACAGAAGCGGTGGATGTGCTCATGTCCCTTTCGGGCAACTCTGATCTAACGCCTCACATGGATGAGATCATGAGCTGTGCCAAAGGCAACCGTGATGTTTGAAACCTAGCCCTGTGTAAGACATGCACATGGCACTGTTGTGAAAGCTCAGTAGATTCACCAATTTGAACATGTTCAGGCCTGCCTTTGGAGAGAGATGCAAGAATGTAGGTGCATCATTCTACCCATTTTCAATCCGTTTTTTCCCTGCTGAAGGTCTCCAAATGCGTGCGGGACCTTGCAGAGGTTATCTTTATTCAGCGGGTTACCGCCCCTGCACTTGCAGTCGTATTGCCCATCCTAAGCCTGAGTCTCAGCATGAATGTACCCAAGATTGTAGGTGATATGGTGGAATCCTAGTGTGCTGGAGATCATGGCTATTTATCTCAGTTGTCTTTCTGCTTTCAGGTAAAGGCTTGAAGAGCCGAAACGCTCGCACACAGCGCCAGGCAGGTTCGGAAATGGAATGGGCCCACGTGTGGAGTATCAACACTAATTCAACACTATTCACGTCTTCTGTGAGGCTTGTCTCATCGCGGAGAACATGGGACGTCTTGTCTCTGCCGTAGCCGACCTGAGACCTTTTGCACCATCACTTTTGCCACAGCTGAAGCGCATCAGCGAGGAGGTGGCAGTGCAGGGCTCAGCATCACGGCTATGGTACCAGGAAAACATCACTCACGCAGCACGCAAGCGGTTACGGACATATCCCAAGATTCCCAGGTGCACTTGAATGATTTGGGAGAACTTGTTTTTGAGGTGTCCAGATGATGCAGATGATCATTCAATGTTTGTTCTGCCTTAGGACCCAGACGTGAGGGCTGTAGCCACTCGAGCTCACGACTCTTTGTCGGAGGTTGCAGCTGCAGACCGAAGTGGCGCAGTGCGCAAGGAGCCTTCAAAACACCACGGAGAAATTTACTGGGAGCAGCAGTTTAGTGCTGTTGAAATGCAGAAAAGGCTACTGGAAGGCTCGTTTGCTTCTGCATACTGATTGTGAGGAGCTTCGAGCAATTCTGGAGATGGCAGTGACTGAAGCAGATGTAGCTCTTGCAGGCATGGGCAACTGCAACTGTGGTGTACATGTTGGTCTTTGGTGGGCAAAATTTTGGTCAGTGCTTGTTTTAACTTTTAACTTTTAACCACCCAATTCTGACAGGTTTGCCAATTAAAAGAACAATGGAATAATATGGAACAATACATATATCGAATATGAAGAATGAACATGATATTTCTCTCAGTTTGGCATTGTTTGGAGGTGCTGTGGGTGGTGGGCGTGATGTTGCTCCAGCACCATGCCCTGGCAGTGTTCGTGATGTAGTGCTAGATCACGTGCAATGCTTAGACTGAATGCTGTACCTGGTTGTGCTGCATTGAACAGTCAAGAAATTGTAATAATTTCAAACTCCCTTTGCTCACCAGCTGAGCTCTTGCACATGCAATCCCCACAGAATCCGGAAAAGTCGTTGATTTTCCAACCTTCCTCTTTATAGATGATAAAAAAAGTGCAGTGTGAACCAACGAACCGAGTCCTTCAGCATGGGTTCCATTGCATGATATGATGAGGTGGTGTTACTTTGTCTTGGTTTCGGGCGCAACTCTTCCAATGCCTGGCGCAACCGTTTGGTGCCACTGCTTGAGAGTGCCTTGCCAGGCCGGGCCTAGTGCAGAAGATCCGGGGATGAAGCTGGCGCAGTCTATGTAAGAATTTGAGGATATAGCAACAAGCTGAAACAAGATGTGTATTAAGCACAGCCATCATCCTTAAGATAAATCATGTCCACGAAAGACAGAACCTCTCCCGCTGCACAGCAAGTATTGCCCAGGTTCGGCTTCCAGCTACATTGACTTCAAAGGCCTAATTTCAAGCCTTCGAACAGTAGCTGAGCGCTTGGCTGCGCCCCTAGTGCTGGATGGCCTGGATGCCTTCACAAATATGATGAATTTTGCTTCGTAAGGCGAAGTTGGACTGTGCCCAGTCATTGCTCATTTTTTGGGACAGGGGACGTCCGAGAGCAATCGCCAGTTTCAGCTTTGCTGGAATTGCCATCCCTGTTGGATCCAATCGTGGTGTTTCCAAGGCTTGTGCACCAGATGATGTGGAGGAGAACCTGTTGTCTTCAGACTCTGACGAGGCGAGATTGCTGCTGTGGTGCTGGCCTTCCTGAGCGATAAAGTGTGGCCAGGAAAGGCTTCCCCAGCTCTGCGACTGCACCTTCACTCTCGCTTGTGGGGTCTGGGGCTTTGGCGTTTGACGAGTTTCCTGGATTCCCATTGATTTGTCGAAAGTAAGGATGGAACCTTTTTCTTTGCCAAAGACAATTTTCAATTTTGAGGCTCGACAAGATTACGCAATCATGATTCTTGTCCATTGACCTTTCAGGGTTTGGGCTTCTTCTCTCTCTCTCTCTTTACCCTGACATGATTGGTTCATCACTTTCCACGTGGCCTTAGGCTGCGACTCTCTTGACAGAGGCAAGACTTCAGCTCAGGCGAGGCAGTGCAATGTGGCAAATTGCTGATCAAGGTGCATGATAGAAACAGGCAGCCCTGATTGCAAGGGGTATCGGTTGAACATGTGAAAAGGAAGGTTTTTACTGAGAATTAGAGCTGCGAGGAGAGGGCGTGTTTATGGATTGGTTGGTGGAAACGACAGTGGGAAGAGCCAGGGACTGAGATTTGGAGTATCTGTAGAATCTGTAGATCCAGGATCGACATAAATCAGTTTTGGACCAGTCAGCTACACGTTGAATTGCCCGAGGTACGCTTCTCCGAGCGATTCATGATCGCCGGGTGTCTGGCTTTCCGTCTGCCAGGGACTTTGCCAAAGATCAAATCAGCCTGGGGTACGGTATGTACTGTACTTGTACTGTATCGTACTGTATCCATTGAAAATTGGGAATTGCCAGCTCTACCATTTCTGGTATATTTCGGTTCACTTTCGTGAGATATGTTGGATCAACCACCTTGGGGACTTCTTCCCTACCTGAGGTATCGGAAATCCGCACTTCACTTGTGGAGCATGGTGCTGGGGTCTTAGATTTGCCTGGCATTGTTTGGCTGTTACCACCGTATTGAATTCTTTGCTCAGAGAGGTTGGAGAGCGAGCTCCTGATTGCGACTTGACGCCCATTGAATTCCTGATGGCGGATCCATCGATTCAGATGCTTCGCCAGCAACACGAGGCGAGGTTCACATGACAAGAGTCTAGAGGGTGATATGAAGACAGGACTTTTGAATCACCCAAGATGCAGCTTTGAATGCAATGGCGATGCAGGTTGTTGCAGAGTTGAAGTCCATGGGATTTGATGAAGGAGCCAGGCTTGGTTTGGAGGGTCATTGACTGGTTAGGATGACCCTGCCAACAGAACGGGGGTTGTCTTTAAGTCTCGGTCAGAACTTATCTGAAGAGCCAGCACAGTGATCAGTCGAACCCCCGACATGTCCCGACATGATCTTTTTCAGTTGTCAATTGCGACTGGGATCTCCACAGGCACAGCCATAGAATAATGATTTCCACGGGGGCCGTAGCTTACCATCGGTTCCAGATGTTACAGGCTTAGTCAGCCAATCAAGACCTTGAGCGGCGGCTGGCGTATGAAGATGGGCCTGGCGCGGGCTATCCTGCAGGCGCCCATGCGTTTTTTTAAAACTGTTTTCAGGAGATTGGCAATGTTGGATGATGTTGGATGCATCTCTGGGTTTTTTTAATGGTTTTCAATCTCCCATGGATCGGCATTTTTTGGATCTGCCATGGCGATATTTCTTGTGAGCGTCCCGGCTTTGGTGGCCACCAAAGCCATTGCCACCAGGATGCAGATGTGGTGCTGTTGGATGAGCCAACTGGACATTTGGATGTCGCGCATGGCACTGAGGGTTGGAATGTCGGGCAAGTCACGACAGCTGGCGGTAGCCAGCTGGAGTTGGCAAGTCTTGGGAATGAGAGGAACCACTTGTAACGACTCATCACGACACATCTTGGCTCAAGGCACATCGCTTGGCTCGTGGACTACATCAGCCAATTGCAGGACATGCTGTGCAGTTCCGAATTTGTGCCGTTCATTCTTCCAAGATATATGAGCACAGATATGTCCAGGACAACACTGAGAAGATGGTGACAGTTGTTGTAGTGTCACACGATGTGCACATCTCAGAGGGAGAAACCATATGTGACATGCAAACAGCACAGACTGCACAAACCAAAAGCATCCACGCCCATATCTCTCTCTGCATCTCTTTGCCAAACCTTTGAGGTGCCTTTCCTTGACAAGGTTTGCACACACATAGTTTACGCGGCTTCCTCAGTAGCTCACTTCCAACGTTGACAATTGACGAATACAATTTGACAGAATTCTGGCAATACAATTTGCTTGGAGTATACCGGGCAAAAGGCAAAAAACATTAATTTTCCACCATAGTTTTTCTGAGGTCAATGGGAGCAAGTTGCAGATGCATCGTGGCAACTTTTCCACCTTTTTGGCCGGGTGGCTTGGGAGTTACCGGAGGAACTGTGTTTGTTGGGAATCATACTCCCATTGACTGGAGATATTTGGATATTGTGCTCCAACTTGGGTATGGGATGGATGGGTCAAAAGAAATCAACCCCCAACCTGGATAGTTTTATTCACGAAATGACACGAAAACACCCAATTGTGTCGCTCCATTGGTGCCTCAGTTTTAACCCATATCTCTTTTCTAGGATCATCGTGGATAAGATTTAGCTGTTCAGGCTCGTGTGCCAAATGCCCAGCTCGGCTCCAAGTCTGAGGAGGCGGTTTGGGCCCAAAAAATGGGGAATGCCGGGATACCCGGATACCCACAAAAGTAAGGGTTTTCTCTGCCAGGCGCAGCCGCTGTCCGCCTTCGTTCTGCCTGAGAACGGGCCTCAAAATGGGCAATGGGAGGTTGCCGTTCGCCGTGAATCATGCAGCTCCAAATTTGAAGTGAGGCCTGGACCCCTAGAAGGCGTCCGTTCCAAAGGAAAGCGGTTCTTGTTTTTGGAGGCTGGGAATCTGACAATTGAGAAAGTCTTGAAACATTTGCAGATAGAAGGTGAAGAAATGTGAGGACTAGGTTCCCCTGGCAGGTCTGTTGAAGTGTTGATGGCAGGATGTGGTCTTCACATACCCCGAGAGCAATGTTCCTGCTGTGAAGGGAGCCACGGTGGAATGTTCCCTCAGGAGATGGCAAGTCACAACTCCAAATCGACTCAATTTGCACAGCCTGTGACTCTCCTCCCCCCCAAAATAGATAAACATATATATATATAATTATATATATAATTATATATATATATAATTATATATATATACATGTATAATATAGAGCATTAGAAAGCCAGCTCTTCTGGAAAGCTCCAGCTCTTCCGGGGTGGTGTTCGGTGTGAGCTCTTTGCACGATATCAGGAGCCGTGTGGCCATCATGGGTCCCAACGGTGCCGGCAAGTCCACAGTGGCTGGCTTGGCCGGGGGCCCGGTTGCGGGGGCCCGGTTGCTATGGCATTTGTTGTCATTTGTTGTTCTCTTCGATGTTGTCATGCAGTTGCTATGGTGGCCCTTCTGGTACTGCATTTTTTTGGTTCCGGTGCTTTTGGGCTGGTGGTTGTTGCTATTGCTGCGGCCGATGGTGGTCGTTCTCAACCAATCTATGAATTGCAAGAAGCCAAACAAGCAACAAGAACGAGAAATACAATGAAATACTGAGTAATATTGCTGCAGTGTCAAGAGCCAACACGTAAGCACTTTAGTGAGACGGTCACTTACTTGTCCAATGTATGCCTTCAAGTATGTTCAACAGTGCTTGCAGTTTTTCGGCAAGGTGGTGGGAGAACTAGCTCCTTTGGCAGGAAATGCTTGGCGACATCCGTTGCCCTGGCTTGTGTAGTGATTGTGTTGCGATCCTATCATTCTAAGATCATCCCATCGTTTTGATATGTTTCGATTCATTTCATGCTTCCTCGCCAGAAACCTGCGAATGGCCTACGTTGCGCAGCATGCTTTCCATCACCTCGAAGAACACTTAGAACTCACCGCTGTGGAGCTCGAAGCTCAGACCCCAACTAAGAACATCGAAGAACTAAGAACTCTGAGCTGTTCAAGAGACATCAAGAGACCAGAGCAGTGGACATTTCGTACCATGTCGAATCGTTCAACTTTTTCTCCCTTGCTGTGCAAGTGGTGGGGATTAAATCCTTCCGAACGGTTCTTTACTGGCTTGCAGGGGTTCAGCCGTCCAGGTACATCCTATGGCGATTTCAGGGCAACGAAGATCGAGAGGAGAGGAACCTAATCTTGTTTTGTCGTCATTCCATTCCTGTTTTTACTTATACTCGCTTTGATAGTTCCAGCACAACCACTTTGTTTCCACAGAGGTGCCCCTTAGACTTTTTGGTGCTTGCATCTTGGTTCCGTGTTTCTGGAAACTATAGGCATTAGCCAATCGTGCAGACGAAGAAGAATGCGCGGAACCAAAGGCGCCCGGGCCCTGATCGCCACCACAGCAGGCGAATTGGTCACGGGAATTTCGCAGCTGCGTTGCCAACGCTGTGATCTAGCACCGAGGTTCCGGGTGGTCGATGACCACTTAGTGATTTGCGAAAAGGATCACCCACAGGCTGGCCTTTCGACCGCAGGAAAAAACCGCTGGAAAGACATTTGGCTCATTTGTTTTGGCCCACAGGCCTTGGAGCCAGAGATCATTGCGGATAGGTGCCGGCTCTGCAACTGTGGCTGTTCTGGATGAGAAGATGTTTAAGAAGATAGGCATTCAATCAACCCCCCGGAGGTTTATCCTAGTTCTCATTATGATGGCCATTTTGGATCATTTTCGGGTATTTATCCATTTTGACCCATGCCTATGTCCATCAGATAGTTCAGGCACCTTGACTGCACAAAAACATGTTGCCTACACTGTCTTAGCTCCGCGGCAGGCGACAGCGTGGACGCCTGGGATACGAGTACGAGATGCGTTGGCGTGGCAGGTGGGCCATTGTTTGCTTGTCTGGTGGACGTCCCTCATACCCGCTGTGAGCTTGGACGGAAGGGGACAAACCTGCCTTTGTGTAAAGGGGTTCTTCTTGGTGTACCTTGTTCAAGTTCAAATTGAACTCACCTTGAGAGAGCTGTCACATGTATAGACACAAACAACTTGATGGATAGACAGGGTTTCCAAGACGGCCGCTTGTCGAGTTTTAGCCTCCCCACACCCAAACATGGATCCAGAGCAAAGCACCTCCAGCAGGTCATGAGAGCAGATGGGATGGAGTCAACGTTCTTAGCACATTGCACTGCCTGCTGCCTTGAACCTCCAAAGATCGCAGGACAAATACCACTTGGATGTCCAGATCACAGGCGCGAAGCATGACAGGTACTAAGATTCAACACGATTTAACACGCTTCAAAAAATACAGTTTAACAAGTATGACAAAACATGATATAACTTTTCAGTCAAAGACTAGGTGGTTGTGGCCGAATCGCTGAGTAGGTTGCCTCAATGGGATGCTTGGGTATGGCCAAGCGCGAGGAGCCGAACGTGCCTCCTGAAATGTGCGTGGGATTTGGATAGGCTGGATTTGGATTTTAACGCTCGAGTCCAATCTTGACATGGCAAAACCTTGTCCCATCCTCCAATTTATTCTCGAGTCTTGTCTTGTTTGTTGTTTGTGTGTTTTTGTTGCACAAGCCTTGTGATTGAAATATCTGAGCAAGGACGAACGCCAAGCTGCACAAAGAAGTTTGAGTAGCCGTCCTTTGACCTCTCCGGCAGTCGAGGTGAGGCATGTGAGGACTGTGAGGAGAGTGAGTCGAGGTTTGAGAAATGTGGCGGTGACTACACCACCAGGCACATTTGGCTGGATTTGGGCTCTCGAAGGAGGAGGCCGGTGCAACCTGTTTAGCTATGTGAACATAGGTAGCACAAAAAGAACCAATGGTAGAAACCACGTCACGCACAAACATACACATGCTGAGGCGAGTATATAATTCAAGTGCTTGTGAAGACCATTGCTGCTACTATCTTCCAACCGTGACGCATGCAGCCTGTTGACAGAATTAGTTCCGTGGATTTTCCTCAGACTGTACTGAAAAATATTGAATGTCATTTGCCACTTGTGAAAGAAGCTGGCTCAACTTTGACTCAAGGGTCTTCTGCCTCCTTTCCCTACGGCGCAGCTGCCCGCCATACGCCAAATGGGGGCTGGTGGAAGTGTTCAGGTCGACAAAAATTTGACCAACGCGGTGTTCAAGAAGCTGGACTCTGCTGCAATGCAAGACCAAACGCATCAAGCCATGCAAGGGTGCATCCTGTCAACCATGTACTGCTTGGGCTAAGAAAACACCCAAGCCATTGATGGATGTCATCGACGAACAACTCGAGGCACTTGAGTGGGTTCAAGAGGCAGGTGCTGAACCTGAGGCCGTGACAGAGGTTTTTGCGCAGTGCGGGACAAGCTTGGACGCAGCTGCAGGCTTGGTCGAAGTTGCAGCCTGCGCCACCGGCGTGGTTGCAGGTGTTGCAGGTGTTGCAGGTGTTGCAGGTGTGGCCACTGGCGTGGCGATTCCTGCGATAGTCCTGTTCGGCCTGCTCAAGTGGTTGACAAAGGATGACAAGAAGTTAGAGAAAACAGAAAAGATGATGAAGAAGGTTGTCCTAGACAATGAAGTCAAGAAATTGTCAGCCGATCTGAAGACTGCCTTGGAGGTTTTGGAAGGAATCCAAGTTACCGAAAACCCAGAGGGCAAGAAGGAGAAGGTTGACAAGGGCGACGGGATTCTTCAGAGTGTGATTAACAGCATGTTGACACAGCTCAATGATGCAAAGGGCCAGAAAGATGGTTTCAACGAGAGTGAGTTTGAACTGTTCTCCCAACTTCAGTTCGCAATGTGTGCTCGGCTCCTCTCTTTGAACCTTCAAAGGGAATTGAAGAGCAAACATGCCATCTCCAGATTTGACAGAGTCCGTGACCAGTATGCAACGGCACTCAAAGAACTTTGTGAGCCTTATTAAGAACTTTGTGAGCCTTATTGCAAGTACCGCACGGCTCACATTTCTGTGGACTGGCAAGAGGGGTCTCTCTCAAAATACGAAGCTGTCCTCATCCAAGACACGCTCAAGGACACATTTGTTTGGGCTCGTCCAAAAAATCGAAAGCCGGCAGTGATGGTTGCTGGCGTTCTCCAAAAAGGCAAAACTATGAATCTGGACAGCGAAATCAGCATTCAGACAGACAAGTTTGCCAAAAAGTGTAGCATTGTCTCGAACAATCCTGATGAGTGTGCCAAATTGATTGAAAGCTGGCATGGTTTGCAGCAGGAGTATGAACAGTGGTTGGTTAAGGAATACATGAAAGCACTAGGTGCTCAAATGTCAGACCACTTTTGGGCTTAGGCTAGCTCTGAGACAATGGTTGTGCGCAACACTGCAGGGGTCATGCATGCAGTTTCCGCGCGCTTTGTCCGGATTCCCTTCAAAAGGGATATCGCACTTCTCCTTTGGAAATAATTTTCATGCACTGTCAGCAATTTCCGATCCCTTTGGATTCGTTTTTTTTGATCCGGCCAAAGGCCGCTTCCCAGAGATGATTTGCGTCTTTGGAAAGGGATGGGGAGATGAAAAAGACATTAATCAAGCACCATGCTACAACTGCTGTTTAGAATGACATGAGACATGGCTGCTCAAACAGCTGGGGAGGCCTGCCACCGCCGCCTGGGCGCTCTTTCCAGCGGTCAGCGTGCTCGCGCTGTTCTTGCAGTGCAGGACCTCAGAGCCACCAGATTGCTGAGCTGCCGCGGCTGATTTTTTTTTGAGGGGATGTTGGTATGGGTCCAAATCCAAGAGAAATTGAACCTCAGATTTGAATCCACTTTTCTGATAGCAAGTCATCTGACCAATACCCAATGTATCTAACATGGCCAAGTTGGAGAGGCAGCATGGGATAAACCGCGCAACTGAGGCCTCTACCTGGTTGGCTCCCCATCTTCTGGTTCTGGATGTCCAGCCCTTGGACACACGATGGTAGTTGCGTTGTTTTTTTGATTGGTTTGATTTAGTTCAAAGTCAGTTCAAAGTATATTTACCTACATTTACCTACATTTTCTTGGCCCACAAGACATCACCAAGATTGGGGGGTCCTTTGGGGGTGACCATGTTGGCCGTAGCTTATGACATGCAGATCACAGTGGTGGCTTTCAAGGAGCCCACCAACTACCTGGACCAGCCGGCCTTAGCAGCTCTGGCTGCTGGGTTGAAGGGCTTTAGCGGTGGCGTGCTGGTGATCTCCCACACTGCCTCCTTTGTGGATGAGGTACGCTGTTGCTTGTCACTTAAAGGATGGCAGCTTCTAAACACTATACGATACCTTTCAATACCTTTCAAACCATTTGTTTAATTTTGTTCCATAATCATTGCATTGGTTTCATTGGTAGTTCGTCCAGAACCCAGCAAGGATCTCGCATACCCAGCAACTAAACATGAGAAACTCTTTGCGCAATTTGGATGAGTCAGCTGGACTTGAACAGTAAAAGTACTGGTGCATGCGGCCGGATTGCTTGTGTGTAAGTGTAAGTGCATGATTTTCTTGATGCCATGGACAGGTTTGTTCAGAACGTTGGATGATGCAGGGAGGAATCTTGCGAAGAGAGGTAGGGGTGTTGTTGGAAACATTTTTGCAGGAAGTTGTGCTGTGTTTGTGCAACTGTTTGCTGATGTCTCGCAGAACCAAGAGATGCTGCTCGGGTGGCACAAGCCAAGCGTTAGTTCTGACCGCCCAGGGTGCCTTGATACGAGATGAAGAGGAGGCCCTGTAGTGGCTCGGGTACTTTCAATGTGCAGAACTAACGCTTTTCAGGGGTTACCGTAGTCAAGGGATCTGTCCCCCAACCAGTTTTTAAACCTCAAACTCACGCACAATGACATGCCAACTTGCAAACTGGGAGTTGCACGCTTTCAGCTGCTTTCAGCTGCTTTCAGCATTTGTTGCGCTTCTGCTTCAACCTTTTGAGGCTCGCCCGAGCACCGCAGCATCCACACACACTGCTGCAAAGGAACTCAAGGACTCATTTTTTTTGAGATTCACAGTGCGGGGTGCATCTGGGAGTGCTTGAGACACAAACCGTCATTTTGAACTTGTGATTCTTCCTGTATTGGCCTGCCGTGGGAAAACAAACTGCACCTTGCAGCTGTGTGGCTCCAACGTGCAGTGAGTAGCGTGTTTCAGGTGTCCCGTTCCCAAGTTTGAAGCCCTTCGTGAAGGCAATGGCCAAATCATTCCTGGCCGTCGTTGTGCTTGCAGCTACCGCTGCTGCTGCAGATCCAGACCCTTTGAACCTGGTGGACTGGTCAGTTGGCTGGGCAGGAAATGGTGGCGGAGACGGAGCTAAAGAAGAGAAGCTCGAGAAGATGCTCCACGCAGCGCAGACCCGAGAGAAGGAAGCTCGAAAGGAGTTGGCTCAGGCACGTGAGGATGAGAAGCAACAAGAATCCAAACACCTGCGCGGAAAGGATGGAAAGAATGAAGAAGAGATCGAATCAGCTGAATTGGATGCAGCCAGACAGGAAGCAACGCACCAGAAACAGCTGGCCGATGCGGCGCAGAGAGAGGCTGAAATCTACATGGAAAGGGCATCTGCAGCAGAAGCCAGGGCCAAATCCGCCACTGACATGGCTGACCAGCAAAAGGCTGAACGGATGGCGAGCCATGAAGCCAACTTGGCCAACCAAGCTGCAAATACTGCGAAGGTGAAGAAGTTGGAAGCCAGGATTGCCCATGACAAGGTCCGCTTCCTGGAGGTGCAATCCCTGAATGGTTCTCTCTTTGGGAATCATTTGGTACTTGCTGGAGGTGCAGTGCTACTTCTTAGCCTTTGTGTTTGTTTGCTGAAGAAGCCCAACCAAAAGGACGGGCTGAGCGCTCCGCTCCTGGAAGAACCGGAGTGGACCAATGACTCTGAGGCTGGCATTGAAGATTGGCGCCAGCGAGCACTGAAGGGTCTGGAGGAGAAGCGAGAGGCAAAGCTGCAATTTGAAGAGCAGCTGGCTGATGCAAATCAGCGTGTTGCCCATGCACAGAAGGAAATGGATGCTACAAAGCAAGAGAACAGCGACTTGAAAGCTCAACTTTCGCAACAAGAGAATGCTGTGAAGGAGCAGAAAGAGAATGCAGTGAAAGAGCAACAGTATCACCGGGGAGACTTGGCAACAGTGCAGCAAGAGAATACCGACCTGAAATCGCAGCTTTCGGAGCAAGAGAAGACTATGAAACAGTTGAAAGATCGTGAAGACGAATTGTCGACGGCTCAAGTCGTAGCTGAAGCGGAAATTGGCTCGCTTCGCGAGCAACTTGAGCTGAGTCAGACCTCCCTGAAGCGGGTTCAAGTGGAATCTGCTTCTGCACAAGCAGCCTTACACACTGCTGAGCAATCCTACCAGGAGGCAATGTCCAAGGTGGGTTTGAATGAAAAGGGCCAAATGCTTCGAGCAGATGAAGCTGAGTCCTTGCTGCAGGAGACCAAGAAGGAGTTGGAGGAAGTGAAAAAGCAAGCGGCCGAAGCTCACCAGAAGTCGCAGAATGACTTGTCTCGAGGCGGATCTGTCCAAATTTTAGAGTATCCCTCGACCATACAGATCATACAGGAAATCTACAGTAGTGAAATCTGTTCAAAATTGTTCCAATAATTTCAACTAGATGTAATCGTTGTCATGCATGTAGTGGATCGTGGGTGAGAAATCTCAGGATTTTGTGACCTGCCAGGTGAAACCGACTTGGAAGCTACAAAGGCTGCGGCTGAGAGCCACAAGGCGGAGCTTGCGAAGTTGAAGGAGGCGAATGCTCAGCAGGAGAAGCAGCAGGAAAAGATGGCGCAAGAGTTGAAGGAGGCACAAGGAGCCAAGGAAGCATCTGAACAAGATGTGAAAGCCGCAACTGCACAGATTGAGAAGTGCAAGAAGGAGGCTGCAGAAGAGGTCGAAAGGGCTCAGAAGGAAGCACAGAAGGCCGCAGAAGAGATTGAGGAAATCAAGAAGAAGTCTGGTGAAGAGATCGAGAGCCTGAAGGAGACAGCACAAGAAATCGAAGATCTCAAGAAGAAAGCTGCTGAGCTGGAGGAGAACAAAAACCAGACGGCCAAAGAGGTTGAAGAATTAAAGAAGCAGGCAGCTGAAGAAAAGGCACAGGCAGAAAAAGAGTTGGAAGAGAAGGTGCAACAAACCAAAGAACTTCAAGAGATGCTCGGTGCCATTGCGTGTTCGAATCACGTTGAATGTGTTGAAGCTCTAGCCCCAAAAAGATGGATTGACATAGATAATGGGTTTTTGTGTGATACTTGAAGGAGCTTTCAGAGTTAAAGATTTTCCTCTTGCATCATTGGTGTGAAGCACAATTATTGTGTGGAATTGAATCTTTGTTAAACAAATGAAGGATGCTTTTGTCTGTTCAGCTTCGCATCATGCTTGGGGAGTGGTCTTAGGTATTGGACCTGTGCTAAGACGAACAGCGGATGTATGCGGGAATGTAATACACGTCTTGATTTGTTTGATTCTTAGTTCGTCCCCTTTTCTGCTTCAAACAAAAAGACTGAATTGTGTATATAGATTATATATGATTATATAGCATCCAGCTACCAGTCATCAAAATTCCCTGCAGGGCCACAAAATCGAAGAGTGCAACCACTGTAGTTCAGTTTATAAATACCCATCGTGCCATAGTGGGTTCGCAAGAGGTTTCCATTGATGATGGGGTTGGTGCTGGGTTGGGGTTGGTGCTGAATCAGGACCCTGGCAACGGAGACCAAGCGCGCAGATACTGCAGAGGGCGAGGCTGCACAGTTTCGAGACCAGTTGGCACAGGCCAAACAGGCAGCGATGAACGCCTCGGAGGCTCTGGAGACCCTTCAGTCACAGGCGGGTTTGAGCCGAGATTGAGAGTATGCTGAACCTATGAAGTCTTAGATTCTAATAGAACTATTAGTGCAATACAAAAATATCTAAACAATCGCTATCCTGTGCAGAAAGAGATCATGTCAAGGTGGGGTCCCCAGTTTTGAGAGGTCCCCATTTGAAGCCCTTCAGGCCATGGCAGAGATTGCAGCTGGGCAGGCTACCATTGAGGACTTGCAGAAGCAAGTGAGACAGCAACAGCTTACTCTGACCACAAAGGACTTGGAACTTGAGAACGAAAAGGCACGTGCTGACTTGGCAGAGACTGTGGTCACAACTACTCAAGGCCGGGCCGCTGGCAGGAAGAGACATGGGCTTCTCAACCGCACATTGACGATATTTGTCATGTTTGGTAGTAATGGTACGTTCAATCCTCATTATCTCATGTTTATTGGACAAATCTACTCGTACCCTGCTGCGGCAAGGTTTTTGCGGGGTGAGTAACCTACCTGGTTGGGGATCATGAACTCATCCAGAAGGAAAGGGATTATCATCATCAACCAACATTGGATATTGGTTATATAATATAGTTATTGGTTAACGAACATTATGCTATGAATATTGGTATATAGTATATAGTTATCATCGTTGACCAACCATATACCTTTTCATTCATATTGGATGAGATTATACTACCCAATACGTCCATTATAGCGTCATCAGATTATATATATAATTATCCGCTACTAGCCAAAAACAATTGCCTAATTTTATGGATGGCAATTATACATGGGTTGTCCCCGCTAACCAACATTGGATAGAACATTGGATAGCAAAAAATTGGATAGTTATCATCCTTAAACCACCATATCCAACCATCATCAACCCTTTTCTGATCCATTCTACGCCACCAGATTATAATTATCGAAATGCTAACCATCTACACTAGTTATCATCAACCATAACCGACCATCATTAAACCACTATACTGACCATGACAGATTATACCCTTATTTGATTTGCCCCCTGGGATTGATATATGAACATCCAATCAGCAGCTACAAAATTCACTGCCAATTATTGTCTGTCAGCCATCAATAACCATCATTAATAACCATTACACACCATTACTAATACTGTAATCATTATGAAAATACCATTATTAATCAAAGGACCTGTAGAAGTCTATACTTCCGTATTACGGAGATTTGAAGGTCACTGCAATAACTGTCACTCCAATGATCGTCCCTGGAATGCCTGTCACTGAAATGAAAATCACTGCAATACGGTTGAGACAAGTTGAGATTATACAGATGAGAAGAGATGAGAGGAAGTGCGAAGGGGTGAGATGAGATGAAAAGAGTTGAGATGAAGAAAGATAAGAGTTGAAATGAGGAAAGAAGATGGGAAGAGATGAGCTGAGAAAAGTTGATACGATCTGAAAAGAAGAGACAAGAGATGAGAAAACAGCAGGTGAGAATTGATGAAAAGAGTTGAGATCAGCTGAGAAGAGGAGACAAAACATGCAGATGAACTGAAAAAAATCAGAGGAGGAATCAACATGTGTGAAAACACAAGATGAGACTGCATGAGATTAGATGTCGGAGGTCAAAAGATTGTTCTTGCAACGCATGGGGCGCTTGCCCACATCCTATGGGCACATTTTGTTTTTTTGCTCTATGGGCTTTCATTTTTGAAGCTTCCGCCCCCGGCTTGCCCGGGCACTACTTTTGACGATTGCACCCCACTAGAATCCATTCACCAACTGCCGCGTCAGGTGAGTTGGAGACGGCTCAGCTGTTGACAGAGAAGGCACGTGCGCAGCTGCAAGGCGTGCGCCAGGAACTCAGCGCTGAGTGCGCAGCCGCCAAGGCCGGGGAATAGTTCCGGGTGTCACGTGGGGCTAGCGGGGTAAGTGCCAATGAGATGGAATAAATGATGACCTTTGACATTTGGATGAAGATTTTTGGACGAAGATCCCCAATCAGAAAGTAGGATTTGGATGGATTTGGACATTGTTGGATAATAACAATGGAAAGAGGCACAGATTGGGGCAAAAAAATGAGCAAACTGGGGATGTGTCCGATCGATATGATAAGAGGTTTGCAGCAGGATCAAACGTTTGGAAATCATTCCATGTGGAAGCCCGTATCAGCTTAACATGATAATTATTTGAATGCTTGAAGGACCTTTGGAAGCAAGAACTCTTGCGTGTCAGGCCCAGCTTGAAATCGAGCGGAAGCTGGCCATCGAATCAGAGGTGCCACGGTGCCGGGTAGCTCCCACCAACAATCCACCCACAGTTTGTTTCCAGGCAGTGATCGACATCTTCCAGTAGGCATGAGTCTCATATGGTGTTCACTTGTTCCCAGTAGTTGGCACCGGACACTTTGGGGCCATGGTAAAGAACACTTTACTTAGGATGGCATCACGACCACCACTTTCAACCATGTAGCCTGCCAAGACTTCCTGTTGCAGGAGACAGCTGAAAAATTCCGTTTGGAGGCACAGGCAGCCAAGCAGGCCGCACAGCAAGCTCGCTTGGCAGAACAGCAAGCCAAAGCCGCAATGCTCAAGGTCCGCCAACGAGCTGAAGAGGCGCGTGCCGTAGGATCTATTCATATTGGGAGAAGCATATGGGGTTATTTCTCATGAAGGAAAAGGGTGCATTTGTCCGTACAAGCGGGTCCTCTTAATGTCATTAGGTATCCTTGGAACCTGAGCCTCCTCAAGTCCTCAACCCCCAAAGCTGGTTTTACTGCTTTTCTCTGAGGAGAAGAATGCGGCACATGACGAGGTGAAGAAGGTGAAGAAGGAGCTTCAGGAAAGTCGCCAAGGCAGCCCAGTTGGTAGTCCTCTGAACAGCCCGCTGAGCAGTCCTCTTGGGACACCCCGTTGAGTGGCGTTCACCCTTCAGTGCCTTCAGTGTGTCAGACGACCACCCTTGGCGTCCGTTCACTTAGAGGGACGCACCGCTGGGCTTCGATCCCGTGTGATCGGGAATGAAGCCCAAATGTAGAGAATGTAGAGAGAACACATATGATGCGCTTTGAAGGGAATTCTGGTACAACGCAAGCACCTCCAGTTGCAAAGTACTTGGTTGAGGTTTGTGCTCCTATGTTTGCGCGTCAGATTCCTCAGCACTTCGCGTGCAATTGCTTAATCTTGCTTCTGTGAGTAGATGCAGTTAGCTTGTTCTAACAGGTGAGGGCTTGTCATGAAACAACCTTAAAAGTCTGTTCGTGTAATGAGCCGCCAAGAACAGCAGCGAATATGTTTTGTGCCTCTCAGCCCAGAGCCTGTTGGGATGTATTGTCCCAGTTTAAAGGGCACACTTGAGTTGAGGCATTTTCGGAACGACATTTTAAGTCTTGCAATTTCTGTGCTGAAACAGGGAGCGGTAGAATTCAACCCTTTGCTTTGCTCTTGTTCTGCTCCTCAGCGCGAACTTAGTTGTAGAGGTGCGCGCGCTCTGGTAAGTCTAAGCTATATGCGACCACTAATTAGGACATTTCAACAGGCGCACAGATTTATCTACATGTGACAGCAATCTCACAAAGTTGGTATCTCATTCTGAGGGAGAATTAGGCATTCGTTTCCAGCAGAGCTCCCTTTAGACGTTTCCGAAATCCAGCCTCCCCGCGAATAGCCTTTGGAAATTGAAAGCCCTGGGGTAAGGGTTTAAAGCAAAGCCCAAGCCACCAGAGTCTGCAACTGCCATTTCTCAACATCATCGGAGTGAAGTGATGTGGTTTTAAGATGTTTCAAGTAAACCACATATGATTTGCAGTATCCTGCTTGATGGAAGGCCAGTGGATGGCAGGAGCATGAAAACAGAATGCGAAGCATCCTGACTCTAATGCCCGTGCCAAGTTTCAATGAATTGAATTGCAAAGGTCATCTCGAGCTTTGAGGACAGCTGTCAGGAAAAAAACCAAAGCGTGGAAGGGGTGCGCCTTGAAACGTTTGGAGCTGTCATCATTACAGTCTTGCGCTGTGCAGCTTCGTGGCGGTGGAGTCAAAAGGCTTGCGGTCACAGATCCTGTGAGGAGAAGCGAAAGATGAAGAGACTCAAGGAGCTCAGGAAGCGCTTTGGCAACGGCCTTGGAAGTTCAGAAGTTTAGAAGTGGAGTTGTCAGGCACAATCAGGCACACTTTGTTGAAACATCTCAATATCAATTCTGATTTGCGGAGATGCACGATTTGATTCTGTGATATTCACGTCGTTCAAATTGATTCAACATGTGCGATGGTTCAGGGATATGTTTTGTGATGCGTAAGGTCAAGAAGCCAGCCGAGCACCAAGATTGAGTTGATTAAAGGTCATTAAACGAGCCTAACTAGCTCTCTGCTTTGTTGAAAAGTTCAGCTGGTGCGTTTCGAGGCGATGACGAGGATGAGTGGTGGGAGGATTTGGTGAAGAAGGCAAAGTCGCATAGCCATGGTGGGACTGTCATAGCACCTGAGGGTTCGGAGGGCACATGATATGTGGTGGGAATCTTATGGGATTCAAGGCCATACAGCATTCAGGTCCATGAAAAAATCAATGCTGTTCCAGAGGATGAACTGTGGGCAGGCCAATTCGAAGAAGCCTTGAAAGGTTCCCTGAGCTGGGGACGAATCGAAACTGGCCAAGGGATCACTAGAGCTTGGTATGCATTTCAAACTTCCGGATGAAGCGACTCCTCATAAAAAGAGTTGACTGTTGGATGACAAGTAATGGTCGCAATTTCAGGGAGCGATTTGTCAGTGTCGTTGGCACGTCAGTGCCTTGCCAGGCTTAGCTGAACTTCATCTACAGATCGCCGCCCACTTGGACAGTGCCACTGTAGTCCGTGGCAGAGTGAGGGATCGTGTATCCCGAGTCGCCAACCTCTTGTGCCTTGGAGCTGCCTCAGGGACCATCTCAGGCCTATGTCAGCAAGCGTGGATGATATCTACATGTAAATTACTGTATTAGTTACGTATGTAATGTACAATGTATGTATGTATATATTATTATAATTTATTATATATACATATTTTATGCATACATCTATACATATATATATATAGATGTGATATGTATGTATATTGATTAAATCAACATGTATGATCAACATATAAACATGTATATATATATATGTATCTATATGGCTTCACGCTCGTTTCGGCGTTCTCAACACGCGTGTTTTTACACCTATGGTTCTTAGGCTGATCCAGGGAAGTCAACACTGAACAGGGAAGTGCTCAGCTGCAAAGCTGCAAGATCATCCGCGTATAATGAGGGCAAGATAATAATAAGCCACCAATTTGGAAATGGTTGATACCACGTATCCACGTATTTATGGTGAAACTGGAGATGGTTTATTATTGTTTTACAAAGATTAAAGTATATGACATGAATATTTGATATCTATTTTATGACTACAATTCTGAATAGTTGTATGAATGTATACAGATACATAACTGAATCTAAATTCGGACTTTGATTTATGGTGGTGTTTTCGTCTTGCGATTCTGGCGGTTAGCCTGAAGTGGACCTTGGCCACTTGGCCACTTGGCCTGGCAGCAAGATCGAATTTTCGCACAAACCATGTACAGTGTTACAGCTCCAGCTGGCGATCAGAAACATCGGAAGTTGCACGACTCAGCGACTTTGAACTGATATGCATGTGTGACACCGTGTGTCGTGAGACTGTTGGAGGTACCTGGCAGAACCGGAAGGGTGTTTGGTAGGACAGTAATGGCTCCGTTGATACCAGAATGAGATGGGGATCAAATTTCTTTGCCAAATTGTTAAGCTTGCTCAGTCTTCATTTGGATACTGACTGTAGAAGAGGACATACAATATGAAACGACTTCCAGCAAATCTATGCCTTGGTTAGGCGTCCTGCATCCAACCTGAATCCAGCATTCACAGCATTTTCAGACTTGACGGTAAACATCTGCAATGGCTACTTATGCCTTCCGTGCAGCGCTGCGCGTGAGGCACAGGGCGGATAGGGACAATTTGCTATCTTCCTTTTTCAGGGAACTCAATTTTGACTCACACTCCAGATCACATTGGTGGCTGCAGGAGTTTTCCAAAAAATAATCTTTGCTTTGATTCTTAATGTTACCTTGGAGGCTACCCGCAATTGCCTGCCGGCATGCAGCTGGAGGCAGATTTGGAAAGCAACTCGGCCTTTGATCAAAATTCAGAGTCTGAACCGTCACCAAACTGTCTTGCAAATATGGCATCAAGATTTACTTGGACCTGGAAGGAACATCAAGTCTCAAGATGGAACCATCTTGGGGATGTACATCAGATGTCTGTCCAAGGCCGCTGGACAATGCGCCGCCGGCACCAGCAGTGCGCTCTCGTCAGGACAAGGTGAATGGTATTTCTGAACACGGAAGCTTTTTAAGATCAAGCCGTGGCTCAGAATCACTGCTCCTCGGAAGTCCACGGTGAATTTTCAGAACATTATGAACAATCGCCAACATCGTGGCTCCGTTTGTAGCTTGTTCCTCCTTAGCAAGAGCCATGACAAAGTCTCCTGGGTTTGAAGCAGAGCATCCAAACTTCCGGTAGCCAATGGCAGTGTGAAGATGCTCGTTGCAAAGCCTCACCGTGATTCTCCATTCAACCAATGTGCTGTACATTCACCTGGCGCAATTTCTCCTGCCAGGGCGCCCGGCAGAGTGTGCTTGGTGGGCCATCTTTGCCCATGCCGGGCACTGCGCCGCATTTGATGGCGCTTCAGCGCCTCTCAGAATCTCGGCAAAACTTGGCCACCGAAAACGCCACCGAGAATTGCTGATGTGATTCAGCCGCTACCAGGGACTCCACCAGGTTATTTGGATTTGTGAAATGGCATCAGTTCTTGGGCGGTTTGACAAAGTTTGTGGATTTTGTGCACCTTGAGGATATGCTACCAAGTGGCTTCTCTGCAGAAGCACGCCAGGCACCTGGACCAAACACCATTGGAAAGTCGGTGAAACTGTGCCCCTTAGAGCCTTAGAGAAGCATCCAGCATCTTACGGGAGGAGCGCCGTGCCCGGCGAGATCAACAGCAGCAGGACATGTTTTCCTTGCGAACCACTGTGTTCTGAGATGGTGGTAGGTGGACAGGTGCCGAAAGAAAGGGAAAGAATGAAAACAAAGGAAAAATGAGGCAAAAACAAGCAAAGGACGGAAATGAAAGTAAAATGGAACTGGAAGAATTCGAACCTTCAGAGAATGTTCTCAAAGCCAGCAAGACTTTAAAGACAACGCCGCACCCATAGGGATCATAGGGCAACAGGTCCTTGCATCAAAGGTAGGCTGTTCTTGTACTTGTTACAAGTGCATGAACGTAAACATAGCTGTGCGTGCACGGCATGGTGGCAGCAAAACGGAAATGCTGAGTGGATATTGTTCTGTTAAGTAGTGGTAGCTAGGAGCTGTCTAAGCTGTCTTGCAGGAAGAAATCTTCGGTGAAGCCAAGAAATTCCTCATGGAGCCAGAAATTTGGACCTATGGGAATATGCTCGGCTACCAACGCAAGGCAGGTCGTGACATGCATCCAGTTTTGCGAGTCGGAGTTTTGGCATCAAAGAGTCCGAGCTGGTTTGGTGACAGGGTGAGTACAAAGTTGGGATGAAGCATGTTCTCCATGTTGCAAGTGCTATGATTGGGAAAGAAATAGAAATGGCCTTTGGGGGTCTTTAACCTGGGCAAAAAGGCTGCTATAAACGCTTATAAACGCTTCGAATCCATTCAAATCATTCAGATAATACCTAGCCTGTAAACTAATGCACCGATGGATTTCCATCGCAAGGCAGACCTTGCTTGGAATGGTTGCATTGTGCGACACAAAACCTGGAAGAGTTGGATGCTTTCAAAGTACTGGACAGACAACCGAAGTTGTTGCTCCAGCAATCCCGACGTCGCTGGTTAGCTTATCTTCCAATTCCTGGTGGCGGTGGCAAGCCACAATCTTGCACTAAAACTGAATTCTGTGCCCAGAACGTCGAATTTATTCCGGCCGCTCCCTCCTTTTCTTCGCCAAATCCAGACTTTTCTGCCAGCTTAAATCCCCAACATTTTTTGTTGGCAACACACCAAAATATCGACCGTCATGTTTTTTGTTTGGCAAAACAACCATGTCAGTCAAATCCAGTTGCGCAAAAATGATCAAGCACCACCCATGCCGTTGGGTAACAACAAAAAAACACATCAAAATCATTCAAAGTCGTCAAGCATCCCAATTCACCAGAATTCATGAGACATCATCGATCATCCCTGAACCCTTAAATTTTCTGTGCCAAAGATCCCCACATTTCACCGCTTTCGCCGCAGTTGATGGATCTCTTGGGCGCTTTCTCGTGGCGTCGACGCTTTGCGCCAGATGATCCCAACGTGGCACATTTGGAGAAGGCAGATGGGTCAAAAGCTGAAGAGTTGGGGCCTGGGGCTTTCCATTGCATTACCCCGAAATGGATGGTTCATGATGGAAAAACCCATGGTTTTAACCCATTGAAAAACCCATTGAAATGGATGGAGGTCCACTGACGGCCAGGAACTTCGGGTCTTGGAGGCCATGACACCTGTCGAGCTGGCGTCCAACCATAAGAGCGTTCCCTGGTGAAGGTTTGTGGAAGATGCGAACTATGAAGTCATGAAAGGAGAATTGGCGTAAGAATGGAACATCCACAAAATCCTGGATTTCGAATGAAGTTGGGATCACTTTTCCTAAAGGATACAGGAATTTAGGACGTTCCCCTTGAGCCCTCCAATTTTGGGATGCTTTGACTCACAGCCGGATTGCTGGCTGAGCTGACCAAGGTTTTCAACAAGCAGTCCATTGATTTGATTGCGGAGAAGTCCAATACCAGCGTTCGATTTGTGAAGCAGGCCATGGGCCCACCAATTTGGGTGTGTCTGAAAATGGATGAAAATAGGAGTGTACCCTAACTTGGCCTTTGATGAGGGAAATTTTTGATAAACCATGGGCTGTTGGTCAGAAAATGGAGTTGGAGTAAGACGAGTTGTCTCATGTTCCAGGTGATCATGGAACACGATGTCTTACGCGCCGACCGACGGTGGTATCAGCCCAGACCCCAGACAAAGCGTTTTATGGGCTTGCGGCGGACAGAGCATGATATCCAGAAGGCTGGTATCATGACATGATATACTATACTATACTATACTATATATATCTATATATTATATATATATATAATATGTAATTATATATATATATATCGATTTTGGGATGATACATACAAATTTTTGATATACGGTATATCCATGTATATCCTGTTCTAAATATGCGCTTTTCGATGGTCATTCGAGTCATTACCCCTTCTACTGGTTTGGGAAGCATACAGAGCGATCTCGTGGACACAACATGCTCACGCATGCACTGTCATGATTCCATACAGTCCATACAGTCCATACGTCGCTGTTTCTGATATGCATCGATATGGACAGGATCTTGGCGCAATTTGACCGGCCGCAGCCGAAGTCCTTTGAAGACCGAAGCTTCATGTCGGAGTGCGGCTTCTCGGATCTGGAATGTCTCAGAAGCTCATCTGAAGCCCCAAAGTGTGGCCCCGATTCGGGGAACTCCCAAATCCACATCCAGCAGGTTGGGGCATCCGCCAATTTCTTTCTTGCTTTGATTATTATGAGCTAGATTTGAGTTCCAGCCTTTGATGCATGTGCAATTTTGTCAGGTACGATCGACCATTCTCGGAAACCGAAAACGAGATGCGGGATGAGTGCAGTGCCCAGATTTGCCAAGATGTTGGCACAGTTGGCATCCCAATGGATGCAAGCCATACCAGCAAGATGAAAGAGGAAGAAATCCCAGACCCGCCCAGACCCATGTTCCAAAGATCTAAGGATGGTGGAGAAGGAGGCCTTGAAGCGAGGCGATAAGCGCATGAAGGTGGAGAGCTCAAGAGGTGTCGGCAGATTTTCAGCAGTTGCTGTTGAATGATCGGCGGAAATCAGCTTCCAAGTATCTTGGGAAATGACATGTGCTGCTTTGTCCCTCTTCAATTGAAACATTTCCAGAAGTACACAGGCATGCCGTCTTCTTGGAATGTCAACGGACTATATGACTATATGGACTACATTACTACATATTTTTGATTATTTAATCCATGTTGGGTGGTTGATAGCGACCTGCGGCACCATCTAAGTTGACCTGGATCTGGTACCGACATCCCAGTTGCGGTGGCAACCGCTGGTCGACGCGACCGCCCAAATGGTGAGCCTTGGTCACACTTCAAACAGACTTTGAACATCAATGGCTCTGAGTAGCTTGAGGTAATTTGGGATATTTTTGCATGTATTCAGGGCAAAGATGGTATATCTATATAAGAAATTGGGAAGCAGCACCATTTGCGAGTTGATGCTTTGATTTCTTTCCGCATGCTTTCGCCATTAGAGGTACCCCGCCCGCTGGAAGACTCGGCGAGCATAGCTCTCAGCATTTTTCCAAGTGCTTAATCGTTCCAAAATCTATGACTGGATATTCCAATATCCCCAAATCATGAATCATCACTATCCCAAATCTATCATTTGAATCATTTGAATAGAATTGGATATTAGATGATGCGATTCTGGTACTGGGCCGGTGCAACACTAAGTCACTAAGGGTTTGCATATTCCCATTGTTGAAGCTACACATACCGCATGCGTTGAGCAGTTACACCACAGGAGCGGCATTTGCGCCTGGCAGGGGTTGGGGTGCCGATCTTAGAGGTGAAGTACTTCTGGTTTAAGGTTCAACTATGGTTCAACTATGGTTCAGCTATGGTTCAACTACGGTTCAACTACTGTATGTTCAACTTCCCATTTCTCATCCAATTTCTCCAACCTCTCCAATGCTCAGGTTGGTGGTGGAGGCGATCGTGGAAGGCCCTGGGGTCGTCCTGCACTCGGCCCGGGGACGCCGTCGAAACGTCGTGGCGACAGCGCGGTGTTCGGCCAAGGTCTGGCCGCATGGGTGGGACCTCGACAGTGAGACAAAAGGAGCCAGAAGCAATGATGTCAACATGGACATTGTGCAGGTATCACCATAGGTTCTCCCTTATTCTTGGTGAATACGGGATAGATTTCCAGTTTTTTCTTCTGGAATATTTCCGTTTGGTAGGTGGGCCTGCAAGGCCACAGACCCCATAAAACTGCTGTTTTAGGGACCACACTGATAAGCATTGTCTGAGAAGTGACATGAACCCCCGCACAGGAAACCACTTACAGGGTACTACAGGTTTCACATTACTACAAGTTTGATCACAGTAACCATAGAATCAAAATAAGTTCGGCTCTGACGTCAGTTTTTGAAGGCTAGAACTTAAGGACGTTGGCATGCCATGCCCTGAGGGCGCTTTAAGAGAGTGGACTTGGTCACTGCATGATCATGTGGCAGCGTTGGCTCATGTCTTGAAGGAAGAAGAATCGGCAGATACAGTAATTCAATGTAATTCAGACTAACAAGTTTCGAGTGTTCTGCGCATATACAGCAAGTTAACACCCACAAGTGCACAATGTCAATCTTTTTCTCTATGCTGCATCCATTTCAAAACTGAAAAAGAAATCATAAAGGCTTCGAATGCATTGAATTGTCATCCACGAAGATTTGTCTCCTAACCACCATGGCTTGGTTTTGTTGGGCACTGCTGAGCGCTGTACCTTCTGGCCGGGTCCTGGAGAGTGCACGACATTCCGATGGCAAGTGTTTCAGCCCTTCGGCTTGCTGTCTGGATATGTTTGGATCACGTGTGTTTTTGGCTCCAGCTTCGGCGCGAGTCCACCCAAAGGGTCAGGATGCGCAACAATGGATAAATATGGATGTTTGGTGATCTTTGGTGATGTTTGGACGTTTGGTTTGTCATGAGAATAAGAGACTTTAATTGCAAAGGAGAACACTTCTGCAACTGTAGAACTGCACGACGCATACTCAGAGGTCATTTGCAACACAGGATAAGCCTCAGCTTTGTAGACACAGTAGCAGTGAAGCGCAGCAAAACCTCTCAGCATTGCCACCCTCTAAACTTGCAAATGAAGTCTCCCTGCAGATGTACAAGTAGGCACCTCCCTCAGTGGCTTCACATAGGGAAGATTTTCAGCTCTTTGGAAACTTGGAAGCCAATTTTCAGAGACAGACCGCCTGTATCCACCTGCTATTTTGTGTTGTTTCCTCAGCAAAGTATATTGAAGAAAACCAGTGAAATCGCTGTGCCTCACTGAGCAGGTGAATGGACCTCCAAAATCTCCGAATAGCTTTGTTTGATGCACTCAAGCCTTATGGTGACGAAGAAGGCCATGACATGAGGATGAATCAAACGAAGCATGCTCATGTTCTTGTACAATCCCTAATGGCATTTTTACATACTCTAAAAAAAACAATGAAATCTGTCAGGCAAGCTTCCGCGAGCTCTCATTGAGCGACTGCTGCGGCGGTTTTCTGAGGAGCTTGGGTCGCATATGGTCCCAGTGTTTGTCTGTCGAAGAAACTGGCATTGCGTATTCGATCCAAGGAGAAGCTGCAGCTTCATCTAGGCAAAGTTCTTCAGGAGAGCTCGGAATGTGTGCTTGGGCAAGGACAGTTTTTGGACAGTTTTTAAATGTTTTTAATGGAACAAGTCCCCTCAGCTCGTTTGAATTCCACGGAAATCGTGGTGAATTCTGCAGGAGGTGGCAGGAAAAACAGACTCCGTTGATATCAAGCAATTTGTCAATTGGGCTGCTCAGATTGCAGTGAACGCAACATTTCGCAGAGAGAATTCTTCAACGACCTGTATAGATGAACACAGCAGCGACGTTGTTGAGGATTGTAGGTGCAGCAGTGACAAGTCTCTGAGAAGTAGTTTTGCATAGTCAATCACGTGACCTGCGTACTTGCAGAGTCATTGGAAGCAAAGGTTTGTGAAGAGCCAGAGGACAGAGATGGAGAGATAAGCTTGTGCTGGTGCTGTGGTTGTGTGAAACCTGCTGTTGTGAAATTGATGAACAGTGCATAGCGAGGATCGTCCAAGTGACCGCTCCACATTTAAAAAAAGGTTCCAGAAAGGCACCGCAACATTGAAGAAGGCAGCGGACACGGAATGTAGCACGGAGCGTTTCTGTCGTCATTTTGTTGCAATTGTGGAAACCGCTCCAAATTCTGCTGGTGCACATGGAAGCGAACTCAAACCATCCAATGGAAAGAACAGTTCTATTCCCAAAATCATACGTAAGAAGATCTCACCAAAGTGCAGCTGCTACAGGTTCAATGCTTCAGAACGAAGGAGCAGTCCATGTTGCTGGGAGTCGCTGGGCATTGCATGGGGAGTAGTGTGCCTTGCGATGAACACCTACATGCTCCTCTGTGAGATTTCCAGTTGTCACAGCATCAGAGCCAAAGAACCAACAGCATTCAGGTCATGAAAAGCGGATGCCGTCAGCATCCGTCAGCATCTTAGGGTCTTCCAACATCTTCCAAGGTCAGCATTGCCTTTCTGTCCACCGACTTCTTGGCGGAGGCAGCCTCCCAGTGACAAGTTGCGAATTGGCAGCTTACCGTCCGAATCGCCAAGAGAAAGGCTACAAAACGTGAAAAAGATCACCTGCTGAAAATTTTGGCTGTGCCTTGTTGTGGAGGTGGAATACCATTTTGGCAAAGGAGCTGATCCTGACTACCATGCAGCTCTGACTTAACCAGAATTGTCGAAGTTGCGGACCCCAAAATGACTTAGATTGACTGGTCTAGTCCAGAAAACATGAGTATTTGTGTGAGGTCCCCAAATCTTGCGACACAGCTGAATCGTGTATTAATGGTGAGTCCAACCTCCCGGCACTTTGGACATCTTTGAACACGTTTCTGTAGCCTATAGCATCAGCCGGTGCCAAGGAGATCAACCCAGTGATGCTCTATGGTCCCAAGGCCAGAGGTTTCGGCATGGAGTGTCCAAGAGACAAAAAGATGGGCAGCAGCTATGCCGATGCTTTGGATGCCAAACACACTGGTCCCGCTTCTGCCCGGTGCTCAAAAAACTTCGACAACGGCCCAAAGTACAAAATCCTGCTCTCTAAGAACGAAACCTGCTTTACAAGCCCGTGAGAGAAGATTGCCATTACAAAATCCAGATGGAGTAGGGCCAGTAGGGTTGGGTCCTTGAGGTTGTGGATCCATGTGGATCCAAGGTACCCAACCAAGGTCATGCTTTCATGGACCTGGCAATATAGTGTCCGGACCGTGGTCACCTCGTTGCTCCGCTGGTGTGAGCGTTCGCAACTGAATCCCTTGAGAACCTATGTGTGGCAGTGCGCCCTTTGTGACCTGGCAGTGGGTGATGGTAAATACATATAAACATACATTATATATATATATGTATATATATGACATATATATATACAAATACATATCATGATGTGTATATCATGTATATGTATATATATATATATATATGTATAATGAATTTATATAGATATACTACTTATGCACTAGTCACTAAGATGCAGCGACCAACATTTGGATTGTTTGTTTTAAACGGGGAATGGTGGCATGGCCTTGACTATCCAAGCTTCTGCGAAGTGACAGGCAATCTAGCAAGCTTCAAGTGACACCCAGGCAACAATCAATTTCGAGTTGCAGAGAAGCGCGCAAATCACGAAACTGAAGACTTTGACACGTTTCGGACCGTCTTTGAAAGCAGTGCCTGTGATCAATTTTACTGCGACAAAGACATGCTACTGGGCAGTTGGAAACAGTTTTTCTTTCTCAAAGTTGTGACCTGCGCCTTAAGGAGTGCACAGCACTGGGCACATTTTAGCGTTGCTATCGCCTTGGCATCGTCCAATGTACACCACTCGAATTTGGCCCCTTGGTGGCAAAGAGGCGACGTACTTTGTAAACAGTTTCAGCATATTTGGATTACTGACACGAATGGATCCAGAGATCTAGCAAATTTGCGTCTAAATTTTGTCAGAGGTGTGTATTCGAGCTTTGGGTGGCTTGCCAGAGCAAGGATGTCAAGTTGGAGGCCACTTAGCCACTTAGCCACTGAAGATTGTGCGAAAACGGCAGATTTCCACCGCATAGGTGATCCTGTCGGAGCAAGCTGAAGCAGAGTTTCATCAGTCGTTGTCAGCTGATGGTGTGGTGAGTGTTTCGGACTTAGTTTGGCCTTGACGTATTCAGCGTTTTTGTTCAGCCGGAACTTTTGCCCCTTGGAGCTTCCCAGGTTTGGAAAGCTCTGGGCAGAGTTGTGGCCTCAGTTTTTAGTCCCGCTGTTTTTTGCTGAAGCCAGAACTCTCCAGACTCGCTGCATGCCGGACACTCTTGGATCAAGACCATATCTGAACACTGAACACTCTATCTCAAGATATCTCAAGATTTCCTGCCAAAGCCATGCCATTCTTATTGTCATTTGACATCATTTGACCAAATTTTACCCATATTCTGAGGCCATCCATGGCCATCCAATGACCCCGTGGCTGGGCGCCAGGTGCAGATCCAAAAGGCCAAAGCCTCGGTGCCGGAAGATCGTGCCAACATCATGCGCCTGGTGGAACCAGATGTGACCACAGCTATGGCCTTAGAAACCGATGGGTGTTTTTGGTATTTTGGCAGACATTCAAATCTATTTAACAGATTTAACATGAGCATATTCTGAATTATTCTGTTGATTGGAATAAGCTTTGGCAATTTGAATGGAGACACGTAGCTAGTTGTTGTGATCATCTAGCATTTCGCGGGAGATGAGAAGCCTGAAAGTTTGTTGCGGCTTGGGCGGCTTATCCACAACGAGGACGAGGAGTACTGGGCTTCAGAGAAGGTCAACAAGCTGAATCAGGCAAGAAAGCAGCCAGCCGGAAAAAGTATATTTAGAGAATATCCACTCAAGATCAGTGGGGAAGCCCACAAATCTACTGTAATTGACTACATTTACATATCATTACATATCATATAATATAATTCTGTTTACATATCATTACATATCATTACATATCACATATACATATATATATATATACATATATATATATATCATATAATTCTTTGCGTATCTATTGTTGATTTGGAATCTTTCGCCTGACAGGTGGTGGTCCAGCGGCTCCAGGCCTGGTGCGCAGAGGCTGCAGCCCAATTTGCGGAACGAAGCCTTGAGGAGAGCATCGCGGTGAAGCCCAAGGCAGCGAGTGGCCAAGTGGCCAGTTGAAGTCATGGGAGCTGCTGACTCAATGGTTGGCAATGGATGAACATATGGGTTTGTCTGAAAATGTTGGGTATATTCCCAATGAAATAGCCATTTAATAAAGATAATGATCAGCAAAACCATTGGGTTTAGGGGTACACTATTTTCAGACACACCCACATGGATGAACATGGATGAACATACTGGTACCCTTTGTCTTTGACCTTAGCACATTATGATACATTATGCATCATTATGCTGTGTTGTGAATTTGCCATTGATGTTTTCTTGGAGGCCTGTGCCAATACCTCCTGGCTGCTGATGGAGGTGAACGATTGGCATCGTGCCATGGCATTGCTGGTACAAGGCGATGGTGATATATGGTGATGGTTGGATGGGGAAGGTACCCGAAGACCAGTCCATTGGGAAACTGCCATGATGCCATGCACTCCCCAACGATTTTCAAAGTGACCCTTTGAACTTGGCAGGCCGGCAGGCTTTGGAACGGCTGGGAAAAAAAGGAACTTTGGAGGCAACTTGGATTCAAAGTATTCCAGCATTTTTCGGACAGGTGACCTTACAAAGTGGAACAGGAACACCTGAGAGGTTTGATGTGGTATTGACACGACCCAAGGACGCTTGGCTGCTCAAATGTATGGGCAACTGGCACACAGACCTTGGGCACTATGAGGAGGCTTGACTTTACGTAGACCAGGCGTAGGACGTGGTGATGAACGACGATGAGCTGTGCATTTGTCAGAGGATAGATCAGACTCAGACAGAATTAGGCATCATCATCATTAGGCATTTCTCGGCAGTGGTCTAGGCTCTTTGGAATCCCGTCAAATCTTCTGGAGCAGCCTGCCCCTTGATGGACTTGTGCTGCAGGGCATGGATCACTTGAAACTGGCAAAAGAAGCTATGGAGGCTTCCGGTGCCTCAGGCACTGTCGAATACGTTTGACACTCAGCCGGGTTATCCTCCTTGCGCCCATAGGGTGTGATGGGAACACACCGTGGCAAAAGTCATACAATCCCTTGCGCGGTCTCAAGTGTTCCGAGGGCAGGTGGCAAGGTATCTTTCTTACTTACAAATCGAACCCAAGCAAGGCCTTGCGATTTCCCCACTGGGTATAATTTTTAATTCAAGCACAGCGATCAACTCTCAAAGGTGCTTGTAGAAAACACATTTGTCTTCTGAATGTTGCAGCCACTCAAACTTCATGTTGAGGCTCGGTTGCTACGGACCATCGGAAAAAGCCTCATTGGGCAAGGCCAGGTAGCCACCTTGAACACTTGTTGGAGGAAGTAGTACAGCAAACCTCATTTGGGTTTGTCTGAAAATCGGGTAGCTCCAAAATCTCATGGTTTGTCGCTCAGTTTATCATCATCTTCCCCATGAGAATGACCATTTTGGGGGTATTTTGGGGGTATCCCGACCAAGCCATTTCGATATGTGGTCGCAGGTCACGTGGAGGATGCCATGGCGATGCTCAAATTGTCGCAAGATGCGTTCATCCGGGCAGAGGCCACGAACACTCCGAACTATGTGACTTGGCGCTTAAGCTGCCCACTTATATCCCCGCTTTATAGATTGGAAGTTTAAAGGACTCACAGGTCATCTTGTGTCTCAGTAAATCCATGTAAATCCCCATGCACGTTTCTGTTTGAATTGGGCTAAGCAAGAAAGATTCGCGGCTCTCAGGCTGTTTGTTTGAGAAGTATCGGCTTCTGTTTCGGAGAGCTGGGAGATCTGTCAGAGGCTCGCAACAAGTCCAATGGTCCAACATGTCTTGATGGTACTCGTATGATAAATCACCTCCCGAGGATCTGACGCTTCAACTTTGTGTACACTTCGTGGATCTTTTTTCTTACGGATCTTCGTGTTCATTGTAAGTTTCCTGCATGTGAACAAAAAAAGAAACCGTGCTTGTCACCATGCACTTGAGAGTCAATGTTATTTTTAGTGGAACAGCAACTTAGCCTGGACAGTAATACTTGAGGCCATGCTGCACTACAGCGAAGCCAAAGCAGTGTTTGAAATGACTCAATCCACAGGAACTCCAAATTATGCAGGAGTGGGGTTGAAGCCATGCCATGAGGTTTGGATTGAAGCTGTGATGTCATGTTCGTCTTGAAGCCATGTTTACAAGTGGTGGACACTGCCAAAAGGACTCCTGACGGACATGGGAAGATGTAAACTCACCGAGAGGGAGTTGGATGATGCGATGGAGTACGGACCCAAGACCGACAGAGTCTCTGAAGTGGCCAAATTCGAAACTTCAAAAAGTCTGTCTCCATGCCATTTGCCCGCAAGTTGCACCAGGCTTTTTCAACAATCACTCCATGCCTTCAAAATGGCTGGCGCAGAGAAGTCAAAGAACTTTGCAGACCTGCTCCATTTCATGGGTCACCCGGCAGAATAGCTCCTGCAGACCAGTGATGCGCGGGGATTGCAGTCCTCATTGGTGGTAGAACACAATATATAGAACCAATTGAGTAGTTTTCAAAAGCCTTGTTAGTTGATGATATGGGGTTCTACTACCCATATTGGGGATAATTATAATTCTATATATATATAATATAATATATAATATAATATATATATATTATATATAATATATAATATATATATAATATAATATATATATATAATATAATATAATATAATATAGTATAATATAATATAATATAATATAATATAATATATAATATATATATAATATAATATAATATAATATAATAAAATATAATAAAATATAATATAATATAATATAATATAATATATATATATAATATAATATATATAATATATATATTATATAATATATATGTATATAATATAATATAATATAATATATATATATATAATATAATATAATATAATATAATAATATATATATATAATATACACACATATAATATCATTATGGGAATCCCTCTCATCCAACCGAGGTGTTTGTTTGTTTGAGCAGGGCAATTCCAGCGAGGCCTTGAGGCGCTTCGAGCATTTTCGATCATTTTCGCAGGGACTTAGCTCGGAGCCAATAGTCGTCCGAGCTGATGTCAGGTATTTCTCCGAGTCTAAGGAGACCTTCAACAGGTGTCATTTGAACAAGACCACCAACTACGCAGCAACTTGATTTTCAATGGACAACCGAGCCGAGCCTTGGGGCCTAGGGAAGTTGAAAGATGTCGAGCAGTGCAGATTTGATGTCCCAGAGACTATTCAAGATGTGATTTGCCGAGGCACTTTTGGCCAACATAGCTGACTGTCTGGAGCATCAAGGCTTCACTGGATGGTGTCAGGAGCATCTCATGGCTCACCATGGGTCTGTTTGATGCGCAGGGGTCTCACGGGGTGAAGTTCTGTGACAGGCATGACTGAAGAGTGCGAGGAGATGAGGAAAGAGGCTGTTTCCATCACAGACGGAGATGGGAACCCAGAACTGGGAATCCTGAAGTCTCTGCTACATTCACTACAGAGATCCATTCCCTTCAAGTTTGACCAGCCCAGAATGGGTGGGGCTCAAGGATTTGCACCCGGGCCACCCTGACTAATTGCTGTTGGGATTGCAATGCCACAGGCCACTGAGATTTACAAGGCCGCCAATGTAGCGCAGGAGGTTCTGGAGCACATGTCTCCCTTGGAGAGGAGACGACAGCGTAGCCCAGCTTCAGAAAGATTACAAGACTAGACAGTTGGCTCATATCAAGTTCATTTCAAGATCCGTAGACATTTTCTGACTGAAAGACATTGTCCGTGAAGTCTTGTAAACCTGTCTACTAGGTGTGTGTCTGAAGCTTGATCTTTCCTGAGGCGTCGCAAACTCTCCGCAGAAGGGAATGACATCGGCTCTCACTTTTCACATGTCTGAAAGTGCTGATCAAGCACCGACTTTGTAGGGACTACAGGGACTACAGGCAAAAGATGTTGTGGATTGCAACAACGCATTTGATTCTTTGAAGACTCTTGCTTTTGGGTGGGATCTCTTTTGATCAGGCTACGCATTACATTTTTTTTCATTCAAGCACATCTCTCTCCATACAAGCATAGGTCGGATGATTGAATGACATCCACCGGTCGAATTTGCGCCAAGTTTTAAGATTGGATGTGTGTTGGCTCAAAATATTGTACATGTGGGGAAGCGCTTAGCGCTTGCCAGGGTTTCTTTTTGATCCTGATTGCTTTTTGCCAGTCCTTAAGCCACCTTGTCAACTTGGTGTGATTTGAGGACAGCATCAGGTTCAGCCGCGTCAGGGATTCCTTGTACAGAATCTTGCCAGGAGAGCCATACTATGTCTAGGATACCAATTCCAGAGGATCACAATGATTTTCACTCTGAAAACGAACATAAATATCATTCTCATAAATCAGCGTGTAACTGAGTAAATTCATCATTTTTGGACAAACCAGATCCAATCAATCCAACTCAGGGTGTTTTTTTTCGAGGCTCTTTTGCAACCCTGGAAACTCCGGCGCGCAGTGAGCAGCAATTCAGCTCTCGCGTACGCGGTGTGAAAAGGTGTCAGAGCACTGTCAGAGCACTGAAACTTGAACATTGACGGTGGTTTTAGCAAGCGATCTCACTTTCCAATGCTTCTCAGATGTGGGTCCAAGTTGTGTACCCCAAAAGTTGTAGGGTGACAATAAACTGACCCAAAAAGATGTGGTTCCATTGGCAAACATGGATGTGGTTCTATGTTTCTTTCAATGATGTCATGAATCCGTTGGAGGCCATGGTCAGGGTCTTCACCTGGGGGTTTCCAGCGACGAAGCCCTGAGGTTTGGAGCTGATGGTTGGAAGATGTTGGAAGATGTTTGGCAAACTGGGACCATGCAATGGGATGGGCATGAGAATGACATGGGGTCACAGTCAAGATTTGGTCCATGACTGTCCGCTCAGAGAAGTCGTCTTACCAAGCGCCGAGCCGCCGAGCCTGGAGGTTTATGTTATCACCAGACCAAGGTGGTACCGTGGCGAAGGTGATGCATCGCTGCCTTTGAGCCCAGCGGTGGTCGCTAGCCGGAGTCTTAGGGCCACGATCCTACGCCGTACCTGGTCCAATGGAAGTATAAAAATCCATTTCGGGATCATGAATTCAAGATTCAAGGTCTTGGATATGGCTTGGATGGTTTGCATGAAGGAACTTGTGCCCGAATATTCTGGCCTACGAGGAATATTACTACGACTGCACAAGCACGAACGTTGCTTCTAAGGTTTGGACGAGTCCAGCTTCACTTCCTATGTAAGGAGCAAGTTGAGGGATTGGGAATATGGACGGGCCACAAGATGTTCATTTTGTGGAACATGAAGTCAGGCCAGGCAGAGCGGTCTCACTTGCTGATGCGATGTACACAATATCCCCGGAATATCCCCGGAATCCCCGCTTCGTTTTTGTTTTTTCGGCTGCAAACAAGAGGGGCTGCAGTTGGATGTTGTGGATTTTGGCAGGAAAGGTCTTCCTGTTGTTATTAAGAATGGTTTCGAAGGCACCAACTTCGATGCTCCTGCACTTAGACTCTCAGAGCTGGCAATTGAAGATGAAGTCATTCTTTGCCACGCTTGATCGATTTCTTCTATGCAAGTGTGAAGTCATGCGTTGAGCAGCTAAGGTGATTGAAGAGCCGGACAAGTGGAGCTGTCACGGGCTCAACGATGCACCCAGAGCCTACAGTCAGATTGTCCTAAACACTCCTCAGATAGGTTCAGTTGCACCAAAGCATACGATGTTGCTGGATTCGGGGGCTCCATTTAATGTGAGCTTACAGGGCCCATTTGCTTGAAATGCTGAGTATTGGAGAACATGCGAGGTGATGCAATAGCGAAGAGATTCCCAACTGGCAGAATGAAAATGGAGTACACTGCCGGTGGAGGTGAAGTCCCTCAGCAAAGTGGTAATTTTCCGAAGATCTCACAGCCAGACCGTGGATGACCGTGGATGGTCACATGAGGTGGCCAAGATAATCCCATTAGCCTCAAGGATGTGGATAGTTGGCCAGACCCTTGGCTAGACATCCCAAATGTGTGGCACACAGCGTTATTTTCGCAGAAACCATCAGGATCTAGGTGCTTTCTCCTGTCCTGAGGTCCAAAACCATCGAAAGCAGTGGCGCACCTGACAAAGAGGACTGCGTGCTTCAAGACAGATCATGCTAATGCAGAGGGTCAATACCCATCATGGGACATCATGGGACCACCAATGGCCATGGCTTTAGCTGTTGACATTGGGCAGGCGCCGCAATTCGTCATCCTGTCTCGTTTGGCGGCGGCCGACTTCTGGATGGTTTGCAGAATGCAGCAGCACCTGTCATTTGTTGCTTGGCAGGCCCCGCTCTACTGGGGAGTTAAAGGCTCGCTTGGGGACTTCAAGAACTACACAAGGATGATTGAAAACAACCGGCCAGAGGGAACGAAAGGCGGTGAAGGATTTGATGATATTTTTGCCAGATCAAAGTCCAGTAGACCTTTGGATTGAGAAACCATGCTTCAAGGCTGCTTGGGCATGGTTCAGACACAATTGGTCATACCAAAATAATGATCAGTTTTGTTGGTCCATCGCTACCGATTCTAGCCATCAGAGGTGCTGATGATGGTGAGCGGCTTTGGGATGGCAAGAAGGATCACTGTCTGGCTTCACTTGACCGTGGCAGATGTTCCTAGCAACAGAAACACCGTGCGCTTCAGGACTTGCTGAAACAGATGCGGAAACTCATGCAGCCTTTGCCAAAGTTTCTGCGCCAGACGCAGGCTTGGTCGGCTCAATGGGCTCAGCTGGCAGAACTTCTATTTACTTTCTCAGGTTTCCTTTATGCCAAGACCTTTGTATTTCAGAACCCATGAGCCCGCACAAGGGGCAGCCTCTCATGTCTGTCAGGCAAATCAACAAGAGATCTTGGGAAGTGAGGTCCATAGTTTGGTGAAGCATTCAGTCCCTGAACATTGGTGCCAAGCAATGCATGACCACTGAAGTCCGTCTCTGTTTCTTCTGACAATGGCAATGCTTTAAATTCTTTTTGATACTATTGACAGAAGGTCATAGTTGTTATATCTTTCGGAATTGCACTCTGACTAACAAACAAGTGAAGAGCATTTGATTTTGGCCACAACTTGTGAGACATGGGAGCAGCTCTGTCTTAGCCTTTTGTGCACCTGATCCTGCGCTTTGTCATTCTGTGGCTTTTTTCTGGTCGTTCAATCCCTTTGTCCAAAGTGATGATCCAAAATAATCCCAAAGATAGATGGGAGAGATTTCAGAGTTTCATTGAACATTTCTTCTTTTTCAGTACGTGAATAGCTTCTCTTTCAGTTGGCAGACATAGGCTCTTTTGGATGAGGTCCCGAGTTTTGGTTTGCACGTTCTGGAGCAGGTGCAAAGGCCCTTGTGAGAGAATTGAGGAGTTGATCCGATTGAACTTCGAAACAGTGAGTGCAAAAGCGTGTTGACACTTGTGCGTGTCTTGAAGACGCAACTGGCACGAGCAAAGCATCCCAATTTCCCCAATTTCGTACATCTGGCACGGTGGGTCAATTGAAGGCTCATATGGATGGACATTGCGAAAGCACTTTGACATTGCAGCTGGCTGGAAGGACCTTTCCGCAATGTCTTGTTGCCACACGGTGTGCCAAAGATGTGCTGCTGCATCTGCTGCTGTTGCATTAATTTGCCCTGGACTGTCAACAACGTCAACAACTCTGTGTGAAAGAGTGCACAAGCAGTGACCACTTCACAGTGTGGAGTCCTGACATGATTTGGTTTTGGTTCCCTTTACATGAGCATTGGCCTGTCTACTTGCCTGGTCTTAGCCCACAAGTTTGGTCATTGGTCAGCTGTTTTTGCATGAACTCTTGCTTTTCCTCGTTTTGTTCAATCTTTTTGCAGGAAAAAGTGGAGGCCCAGACGGGATGTCAACTGGTCCGCTTGCATCCGGTCGATGGTCGAATCTTGCCAGGCTATCCTGGCCTCCGAGTATCAGCAATGGTAGCTTTGCCAAGGCCTGGCGGCCTGGGGGCCTGGGTTGGGTTGGATTGGATTAGTTGGATGGCTGGTGCAAGAGCAAAATGTGGGCAATGTCTCAACAGTACAGACTTTCTACGCAACTGACAGGTGATTTGAGTGTTTCAATGATTTCAATGTGCCACTCAGTTTCCTGGTAGGATGGCCTGCTTGCAGATGGAGAGCCATACCAGGCCAAGGCGCAGAGCTGGGCATACTCTAGTTACCATACTGGAGTGACCCTGAGATGCACAGGGTGGCTGGACGCCGACGCACATCGTGACGCTGGAACCAGGCTGGAACTGCTAGATTCTAAAGAGATCTGGAGATATTCGAAAACGCAAATTGAGAAGACACTGGTGATATATTTGTCGGTTCCGAAAGATCCTGAATTCAAGTCATGATCCTAGTGGAAATGCAGATGCAGAGCTGACGCAGGTGAGGCTCTACTGATCCCACCAGCTTTTGTACACGAGAGCTGGATCCATAGCAGATCTATTTTGCCATGTCTTTTTGTATTTTTTCTGAATCAAGAACAATCAAGAACAACATGTGCCACAATCACACCGAGGCAAAAATGTTGGGTTTTGACCTTACCGAGCAGAGCTGATCGTGTCGGGATATGTTGAGACATGCATTGAGACATGCCGTATGTTGCAGATTTGGCCAAGGCCTGAGGCCTGTGCTCCTTCTTTGACGTCGCTGCTGGCATGTTCAGCAAACGCTTAGCTAACGTCTTTCGGGTCCTTTCAGTCGATTGCTCCTAGCCGGTCCCAACCAGTTGACATATGTTTGACATGTCAGGTTTCAGTTTGCAGATCCAGCAGCGGCAGGCCGCTTCTTTTCTTGCCCGATATCCATGTAGAGTTATGCTTAGATCGATTGGTGACTGGTCATGTACATTGGGTGCTTCTTAAAGCCAGCTTATTCGAAAGGCTTTTTCCGGCATTTCTACCCTCGCTTGCGGCGTTTGGGTGATTTCAACGAGTGATCCGCTCTTAGTTTTTTTGTTCAGAAGTGATCATTTTTTTGAACTGTTTTGACCGGGCCTTTGACTTGACACCACGCTTTTCTAAGCACCTTTCATTTTTGCCTTGGCCAACGCACCCTCAGATACTTGAAAACACATTTCCAAGCGATTGAAACAACGATGATTTTTCCTCTTCATCTCTTCTGATGTCATGGAGTCAGGCTGGGAGCGTGTGTCTGCGCTGGCAACCTTTGACCGCAGCCAAAACGGGCTGGTGGCAAGGCATAACGGGTTTGGATGGGTTTGAACTTTTTCTGCGCAGAGGGACTTGAATCATGCAGCACTAAAGTGGCACTGGGAATGGATGTAGCGGCAGTGCTGACTAGACCGTCGACCTCTTTGTGAGCCAGTCAGGATAGATGTGAGAGCAAAATCATAAATTGTTGTCCGTTCCAGTGCGAGGAACGATGATTGCAGTTGTGGCAGTAGCATGCAGTACCACGTGAGAGCAGAGGTAGATACCTCGTTGACGGGATGCAATACCTCGATGTGGTAGACACTGTGGTGGTACGTTAAAGCTACAGCCCCTGCAAGGCTAAAGCAGCTGGCGTCTACATCAATAGCGTGGCACTTGCTCGTGTGTGAAACCACGTGCAATCGCCGTGTGGGACATTTTGGCGGCATGTCAAAATCCATGCCAGGAAGCTTTCAAAATTGGAGAGTGCAGACGGTGCAAGCAGCGAGCTTGCCAGTGACTCCCTCAAATTTGTCGCGAGCCAGCCGGCTTTGTATTGCTTTGTAGCGTCCTTGATGAGGTGCTGTACTGCAGGCGACCAAGCAGGCCCAGCAAACTGCTTTGCTCAGCACATCTTGCTATTAGTCTATTACTCCAATCGCAGTCCATATCCATATTATTCCGATGAAACCATATTATTCTTCCAATATTCTTCATCTTATTCCAATCAAATTCCAATCGAAGCTGTGCTTTAGGCCTGGTCCAACGTGCTCAGCGCAGCGGACCGAAACCACGATGGCCGATTGACCAGGGATGATGTCTCGGACTCAGCAAAGACCACACAGATCGCGTTCGCTCCCTATCATGTAAAATATGACATATTCATAAATATAGGGCCCAAAAGATCCGGTACTAGTAGGTACTAAACCAGGGTTTCTGGGGTACCTCATATTGGTGGGAAGATTATTCAGATATATTCAGATAATTGCTGGTGATGCCGAGGTTGCCAACGACTTCCAGTTGCAGGGCAGCCTCGATTTCCATGATCTCAATGAAGATGAGGAAGTCACAGAGGCTTTCAGCATCCAACGGTACATGAATTATAGGGATTCAGAGCCATCATGAGCCATCAATGATAAGGGGATAATGGATGGATAATGGGGTAACACTGGAGATATTGGTGAAAATGGGGGGACAAGCTGCCTGCAGCTTGGACGGTTGCAAGTTTTGGAACTTGGATTGCTTGGAACCACTAGCGAGTTTTCTGCACCGCTTTCAGGCCGAGTTTAAGTCTGGATTTGGAAGTTGGTTGATGACTGAGGCGGGCCGCAGGGAGAAACTTGAAGGAATCAGTTGGAACAGGTACTTGGCTTTCTGTTTTCTTCGTGAACAGGAACTGATTTGCCACTTCCTTCTCGAAGCCAACTCAGGTTCTGGTGATGCAGGAGAGGAAGCAAAAGCCAAAGCTACTGAAGCATTTGGAGCTGCTCGGTTGAAGAAAGAGCCGCATCAATTCTGATGCATACCGCATACCTGATAATTGCTCCAATTCCGTTTCAATATATTTTTTCTGCCAGGTTCTAAAAAAATAAAAAGACTAATCAAAGAAGAAACATTAATTTTCTTTTTACGAACATACAACATATAATAAGATACGGGTATATTATTGTATGAATATCCAT